GCTACAGTTTGATCCCATCTCTTACCTTCTCTTTTTTACAATGGCAGCCATATTTTTATGAGTGCATAAAAAGATAATGTCAAATGAAAATGGTTCCAGAAAACAAATAAATAATTACAGCAATGCATGTTCAGTTAGATATCTCCAGTTTTCCGATTTAAAAAAATTCCACAGGGCATGATTTCTAAATGATTTGGGTTTATTTCCATTCTTCTAAGACTCTGAACGCAGGTTCATTTTGGCAAAGTTTAAAAATAACTTAGAAGTCCTCCCTCCTCCTTCCCCCATCACATTAAAAAAACCCAGCATTATTTAAAGGGCAAGAACACTATTAAGAAGAAATAAACTATTTCAACAGTAATGATTTTCAACTTTATGAATTTTGAAGCTCACTATGAAAACCAAGTACTATGAAAAGTTTCTCTGAAATCCTTCAGACTCCTTCCTGTATGTATGCTTAAAAGAGTGTTCTCTCTAGTTGATGCTCCCATCCACTGTTCAATAAAAGATGACCTGAAAATACCTTGTGATGTTTCTTGTTGCCACAGAAAGGACTCTTGCTCATACAAGGGCAATATCATGCAATATATGAGAAAAAGAAATTTAATAAAAAAGAAAGAATCAAAGCTGAAAGGGCAGATTCAGGCTTAAAGTTGTCTTCAAAACAGCATATGTACTTTACTATTTAATGAAACACAATAGGTCATAATAGAAAAATTTTAGACTGTTTTGATTTTCACAGGTTTCTAATCTTATCCCGTTCCTCAGTTTAATAGCAGAGATTGCTCAGTGTCAGTATATTTACATTCAATGTACTATACTGTTTCTTATTTTAAATCTTTACTCTTTCTGCTTTAGTGTTCCTGACTCAAACAAAAATTGGACTTCCTGACTTTAAAACAGAAAAAACAGAAATATAATTTGAAAGATTAGGTTTTGTCAAAGCAAGGTTTTACCTACATTTTTAATCTACTTTAATATACCAGGCTCTTTTGAGTTTATGTTATCCACAGCAGTTGAATAACAGATAATCCTGACTGAACATAACAGAAATAAAAGAAATTAAAATCAACTGATGTCTTGCTTCAGGAATCACTTCTCAAAATCTTTGCAAATTTTACTTGTTTAAAGTGACGAAACTAAAGGTAACTGTATGATTCATAGAGCTGACACCACCACTAAAACCAGCTGAAATATAAGTCTTTCAAAATTGGATTTCTGTATCCTCAAATATAAAACAACACACAATGATAAATGCATGAGCGATAAACTTAATACATAAAGAAAAACACAACACATTTGCCCAGAACAGTTTTGTACTTGTGACAAATGCATCTAACATTAGTCTATCACAGCTCAGGACTAAAGCTGTTAACTTCCGAAGCTTTACTTAGCAGTATAAATATATAAATATATATAAAACTATATATATAACTCTATATATATATATATATATATACACACACACAGAGAGCAGTATAGGTATAAATGTTATATAAGAGATTCTAAATATGCAATAATTCAAATGTGATTGTAGAGCATTATTTCAGTAGACACTGAGAAAGGATACAGAATACATCCTGCATCACCTGGGACTTGGTGTGAAACAGTTTTTGCAGAATATTTTGAGATAAATTAAATAAGTTATGTAAATGCAAGAAATGCACCTCCTCTTCTTACATCACTACAGCCATACTAACATTGTTTCCTTAAAAAAGGAACAGATATGGTCTTCCCAAATATTCAGGTCTTATTTTGCTAAAGATTTATTAGTTGACTGTCCATGTCTTCTCTGAAGTAGCAGTATATTATCCTGAAACAAAAGAACTGTGCAGACTTCATGTCCACCACTGTATAACATATTATGTCTAGCTATATACATATCAATATATTCCAAGATTTTCTTGGAAAGGCAATTAAAGTATATCTGAGTTTATAAAACCATTGGGTCCACCCAGGATCAAATACAGACTTTCACTGATTTGAATGATCAACTTTTCAGACTACACCATCTGGCTAGATCATACAGAAATACAATAAACGAAAGAAATTTGTGCTAGGTCTTGGGTACAATTGCTGACAATGGCATTCACAAAATAATAAAAATAAAATTCTTGTTAGCTAAACTAATTTTAAAATTGTTCTTAAGAATACCATGGCATGCTCAGTGATTCCAGAATGCAAATTAAATTTTTAGCTAAGAAACACGAACTTATGCATTTTATTTCCTCAGACCTTTGTCTGTTTTCTTAACATATTGAATACCTAGTGCAATAAATTTGATTCTAAGACCAAAATCACTCCAAGATGAACACAGAATGCAAGTTGTTACTGAAATATCCCATTGTGTAGCATGCTAGATAAATACCTTGTTAAGTGGTGAACTGCATCCCATGTACCAATCTACAAACCTGAAATCAGAAGTCACATCCTCTTCAATTCTTCTGTATTTATAAATATTGCTAGACTTCTGAATTTCTAAACTCACCATCATGATATTCTTTTCAAGAAAAGAAGAGAAATGTAGCTGATCTTGAAGCATCTCCAGATAACTATGAAACTTCTGCTACTCTGTAAACAATCCTGAAACTCTGTGCTTCACAACTGTATTTTGCTTCATTCATATTCTCTCATGGATGATTCTCTGTGTTAGCTTACTTGTATTTGTCAGGATTATACCACAGGGACAGCCAGTTTATACCACCACAGGTACCACTGTGATAAGGTTAACACTTCTACAGAGATTTGTAAGTAGGTTTTAAAAACCTACAATATCCCAGCTATTTACAAATGCCTTGGTGAAAAGACAAAAAAAAAATACATAGTTAAAAGTTTTAGACAATCTATTTAAGCTAATAAAACTTCCTTAAACATGTTCATCAACAAAGTAATTTAAATACTTATGCCACCTACTTTTGATATGTCCACCATAAATCTCTATTTTTATTCTTTCTCCCCAAAAAACTCCATGAATAAATTACATCAGATCCACAGAAAGGAAATAAGAAAATCAATTTCTTGAGAATACAATTTCTCTGTCTCATTTTCCTAAGTTTTGATTTATATGAACTTAAATTAATGGATTATTTTCAGACTATATGAGGTACTCAGACAAGTGGTTTGTGTCAGTGGGGACAGTGAACCACATCCATGGATATTCATGGTTATCACAGAATCTGATAAAATGCTCCATCTAAAATCTGCATCATTGCAACAGAAAATATTTTCATCCATTTGATCACATTTGACTGAACATCTATTTTATTTAGCAATACCTTAAAGAATACTTTGATGTTAAAAAAAAAAAAAAGTGAAGGGCATTTTTAATGAATTAAATACATTCTGCCTTCATTTCCTTTATTCCTGTACCTGGGATTTGCCTGTAATTTCATTACTGGGTGCCTTAGTATTGTGTAATTTTTTATGCTTAAGTAAGAAAATCCAACTAGCATTCTGTAACCTTAATTTAAATTTTTTATCATTTTGATGGATTGCTTTCTCCTTTTGGCTTAACACCTTTTTTATACTTTTAGCTGGGTTTTCTTTTTTCTCTCTGGGAAAGTAGCTTTTCCAATTTTCATGTTCAAGTTATTTTTCCATTAAACTATTTACACATTTACATTCTTGTATTACTTGCTTCATAATCAAGGCTGGGCTTCTCACTCAGTATGTAAGAGTATTCATTCAAGATATAAAAACAGACTCTGTCTTGCACCCTTTTTTAAATAAAAACCCCTTTTAAACATTTAAATGTATCCCTTAGTGAATGACAGTACTCAAAACTCAGATTACCAGATATGCATTCTATTATTTCTCTACCTTCTGCAACTTCTGAAAAATAACTGGTTTGGTATAATGAAGATCATAATTTTCAAATTAAAAAGAAAAATCTAAGCTGACATGACTGTAAAACAAACCAATTAAATTCACATGGAGACTGTAAATCCATTATTCTTGCATACACAGTCACATGCATTGTCATGACATGCACGTGTCAAAAAAGATATAAATAAAATTTTAAAAAAAACCCCAAGTGATGTACAGTGTCACTACTCACCATCAAGTAATGTCCAGCCCCTTCTCCAGCTGTGATTGGCTCCTCCCAAACTCTCCTGTGTTGGTACACTGGGAATAATATTCTAATACATGGAATATACCTTTGCCAGTTCCCCCGGCCTGCCCATGTTCCCGTGCAGCTATTTATGCACCATCTCACTATTAGAGCATGGAAAACTGAAAACTGCTTGACTTAGATTGCAACAAGTAAATCATCAGCGTGTTTGCAACATTACTATCAATATTAAATCCAGAACACTGCACATTTCAGCTACAAGGAAGAGAATTAACTTTGTTCTCGCCAAAACCAAGCAGTTTTGTTTTTTGTTGCAATTCACAAAACATTTGCAATAAGTCAACTGCTAGAAGCTGTAACTATATTTACTAAAAGTTTACACTTATGAGAATCTACGTCAATCAGCACAAAGTGACAATGAACAAAATAACGAAAGAGAATACTTATTCTGCCCAGTTCTATCATATGGAGTCCTGAATAAAGGCTGGAACAAGATTTCTGAAGAAAATCTAAAAGGTGACACCTTTCTTCCAAAACTGAGGGACCAGAATACAATGAAAGATCATACCATGACACAGTGAGCTGTGCAATAGCAGTCTAATTCAGACTGCCTCAGACTCTTGTATAATCCCTTTTTGCCCAGGTTGTGCAATGTCCCAGATGGTACAGCTGGGAAATAATTTCTCTATCCACTGTGCATGATGAAAACTCGTGTGTTACTCAGTCACTGTATGGGTCTGAAAGGTGGCTGATTGCATTGGCCTTTTTTGTCAGCAAGGGAAAACAAAAAACCACAAACAAAACATTATTCTTGGTTAGCACTAGCCCACTGCAGTTTGAAATAATTAGCTGTGCCATGAAAATCATAATTAATAGAATATTAAATTCTTTGTCCCTTTTATTAACAAAAATGGAATCCATAACATACCTCTTTTTTCTCTGTGAACTTCTTCCAAAAGTTTTTCCTGTTTTTTTATCTGTTTAAAGAGAGACTGATGCTCAGTCTCCTTTATCTGTGTAAAGTGCTTGAGCTGTTCTCGGCTCTGCAGCAAGTAGCATCGCAGCTTTTTTTCCTTACTTTCTCTTTCCTTTACCTCCTCACAGAGCCACTGAAGCTTAGTCTACATTTAAAACAAAAGGTACAATAAAAAGTAAAGAGTTCTAATAAAAATAAGAGGACATAAATGTTCACTGACCAAATTATGTTGGAGTCACATGTTACTCATTTGTAGCTATCTGAATACAATAATAACAATAATAACAGAGGGCATTTAGATATATTAAGAGAAGAAAAGTTGATTTTCAAGAGACTTAAAAGACATATTTTGGTTGATAATTATATGGGAAAAGTGATTTTCTTTTATTTTATTTCTTTTAAATCAGAAGCATGAATTTGCTAGGGTAGATATGGAAATTCATATTGAATTAGTGCACACATAGGCACCAAGAGATAGGCCTTCCTTTCAAAGTACCTTTTTCTCTCATTTTAATGTTGGCAGAATTTTAAAATATTTCCCCTTTCTAAAAAAGTGACATCAATCCTTTCTAGTCAGCAAAAGTCAATATTTAAGGTTCACTCAGAGGAGAAAAAGATCTCATTGGTAAGGTTGTGATCAATTTAGTAAATCTAGAAGCGATGAAATGGAATACAGTATGGAAACTTTCACACAGTATTTAAAAACAAAAGAAAATAAATGTGGCACTTTAGGCAGTCATTCATTCTAAACTTCCCTCTAGCAGCTAAACAAACTTAGGTTTGCAAAGTATTAATAGGTGGTCTTTAAAAAAAATTTTTAATAATATGTGTCACTTTTTCAAATGAAGAAAACACTTCCTCCGTAACATTTCTCCTTTGATTCCAATCTTTTTTCTGTTATCTATGGTGGAAGTCTTTCTTGGTCTACAAGTCTCACAAAGACCTCATGCCATGAATAATCTTCTCTTACATGCAAACATTTGCAATTTTTTTCCTTAAGTCAATTCTCCTGCGGCTTCAACCTTTCTATATGAAGTAAAACCACCAGTTGTTTTTCCACAGTATGTGATCTATTTTAATAATGAGAAATTTACTTATTTTAAAAGATATTGGGTAAGAAGTGTGCTATGTGTGTGAGTTAAGGGAGCTGGAGGAAAGCTGCAAAATGAAAAGCAAGATTTATGAGTTACAGTCATCACCTTGAAGATGTTCTCAAGCATGTGTGCCCCCATATTATAGGATTTGAAAGCTTCAATGGGGAAAGAAAAATCGTTTATTTTCCAAGAATCCAATCTAATATATTTTAGACTGAACAAATACCAGCCTTATTTAAAATAATTTCTAGCCTTGTGATACTTCTGTAAGAGAAACTTAACCTGCTAACTACATTCTCATGCTTTACTCAAAAAATTTGAACCAGATCTAAAGGCTATCACTGCTCTTACTTATATGCCTTTTTTTTGTGAAAACAACATTGCTATTTATTTTGCTATAGAGATGGCTATTTCTTGTTGATAGAAACATTTGGAAAATTATTCTATCAGTTAAAATAAAAGTCTGGAAATATCAGAATAATTGCCAAAGGAATGCTTTTGTATTTTTTCTTTTACCCTTGAAGTGCCATTTTAAATGGACTTTCAACTAAATCAGACCCATCCATTCACAGACTCACCCCCTCACTAGAGTGTAATATAGGGTTAGGGCTGAAAAGGACCTTAAGGATCATCTAGTTCCAACTCCCTGATATGTGCAGGGACACCTCCCACTACATCATCAAATGCTGAATATTAGCTTACTCAGTAACATTTCAGGAGGTTTGACTATTACCTTGGTTTCTGCTAACCAGTGATGAGGATCATTCGGTACTGTTGGCGTAAGGGATATTGCCTATGAAAAAGCAGGTGACAAAGAAACAGACATAAAATGGGAATTAGGCATAGGAGGAAGAAAGTCTTTTCTGCTTACTGGAAATTCATCAAAGAAATACATTTCTTATCAAGGAAGATTAAGCCTAGTGCTTGACTTCTCTCAATACAAATATTTATCCATCAAATTCCTCCTGCTTACCCAAGTTGGAGCAGCAACTTCTTGAAGTAAATGGTGAAATTTTTTAGAAACTTTAGCAATACCTGAAGTACTAGGCAGAGGAACAATATTATAAAAGAAGACGATTATCTTTAAAAAAATAAAAATTCACACCAGGACCACAAACTAACTTTTTTTTCACATTAACTGTCTAGTCAAAAACTTGCATTCAGAACTGGTTTAAGTTGGCCAGTGATAAGAAACCAAGGAGAATTGTATAAACAGGGATCTGCAAAACCTTATCCAGAAACCAAAAGATCGTCACAAGGTGAGCAACAAGTCCAAGAAGGCATGGTTCAGTGATCAAAAATCTGGCAACCACAGCAGATTACAAAACTTATTAAAAAAAAGAGACCTATCTGTAAGGATAGAGAGGAGAAAGCTTGTTTGTAAAATACATTTTCTTAGAATTCTCATCTAGTTTTGTGCTGCAATACCCCAACTCCATGTGTAAGTGGAGAAATGGTGTCAATTGTGGAAAAAAAAAAAATTTCAAAAGCAATCCAGCCCAGTCAAATGACCAAGAGCTATAAAGTATTTTTTGTTTAAACAGCAAGACAAAAAAAAAGATGTAATCTGAATGTACTCTCGGTTGTAGCTAAGGCCAAAAGGCCACTAGGTCAAGCACTGGTAAGTGTGGCGACAAGCTGAGTCAGACAGTCTGTTCTCACTATTCTCAGAAATGTACAATGTTGATTTAAGAGGATCAGTCATGTAGAATCATATGGAGGGAGCAAGAGTGGTTTCTGCACCTGGGGAGCAAATGAGAACGCTCAGAAGAAAAGCTACAGGGAGACAGGGGCTGCAGGAGAAGTAGCAAAATAGCAAAACAGAAGTTCCAGCAAGCTACCAGTTTCCTGAAAATGTGAGTCTGAGTTTTCTGGATACAAGGACCTGCTCCTCAAAAGAGGAGGGTATAAACACTTTCCATTTTCAGTATTCAGTTCTCTACATAAAAAACAAAGCATCCAAGTGATTTTTAAACAAAAAATTTCTTTCATTTTCTCCCAGTTTTAAAAGCATTTTAGGCCCTTCTTAAGGATTTCCCAATTCCAGGAACATGGCCTAAGAAAACCTACCTCAAAATTTTGGCTAATAAAAGGTCCTTTCACAGAAACAAAGGAGAACTATTTCTCAAAAAGGAAAAAAATAAGAAAGCAGTACCAACTCATGCATGGACAGTCCTTCACAGTATCCCATTCTAATACATAGCAATGTCCCTCTGTACCAGCTATATACCCATCATTCTGTCAGAATAATTATCTATGCATCAGTGAAAACAATGCATGCAAGTTCCACTACAAATTTTCATCAAGAAAAGAACAAAACCTGCAGCATACTTAAAACTTAGAATTACTTTGAATTTCTCCATGGAGTCCCGAGAAATGATTTCACAAGCAGCATCAATTTCACTTCCTATCATGGAGAGAATGGATTGCTGTTCCATTTCTAATTGACGTAGCTGATCCTTAAACTGCAGTCTGGCCTCACTCATCTTTCTCAAATGATCTTCATTGCTGATCTGTTTTTCCTGGAGTGAAAAAGGAAAAACAAAACAAAGTTAAGTAATTGCATTAATAATATATGTCATCAGCCATGTATCATTCAATCTCATAATCACACCACACTCAGTCACACTAAGTTCAACTGCTTGCCATGGAAAAATAACACCTTTGAATAGCACTTGTAAGTTCCTCCCTTGGTTCTCCTCATTATCCTGTAAATCAGTTATGAAGAAACTGCTACCAAATCCAAACTCAACAATCATAAAGCCTATTTTCAAAGTCAAAAATAGATGTTCTAATACAAATCTCCTCATGAGTAGAAAAAGAGCCCAGACTAAATACTCCCATTATTATCTTTTGCCCTCAATCTGTTGTAGGCATGTAATATCTATTGTCAGAAAAGAGATCCCAGAAGGAAAATTTTATTGGCAGTCAGTGTGCCCTCCAAGGAAAACTACTCAAAGAATATCTCACAGGAGAGTGAGTGGCACAGAGGAAAGTGTTTTACATTATCAACTAATGTCAGAAAGTTGATTAAATATATTACAGGTTTCTAAAATTCAGATTATCTTTTTATATCTATGATAGAGCTGCCATAAAACCAAACAAAACTGCTGCTAGATTACACAAAATATTGAATTATGCGTTATAAATAATATAGACAAACTTGTCCTGTGAGAATAAGTGAAATGGAAACACACCTGTCTGCTGCTGAGATCAGGAGGATGTAATGCAGCAAAGGGCAAACACTTTAACTGTGAGTTGCACCAAGAATAGTGAGAACAGCAAGGATTTAAAAAAAATTATTAATTGTGGACCTCCACAATGACAAGGTACAACTGTTTGAAGTTTCTTTGTTAGAAATCTTCATACACTGCTCTTATGAGACACCAACGCAGAGTTAGGTAATATCTAACACTCAAGTTCCATGAATGGGATATATATGGAATCACAGAATCATTCACGGAGTCCAACTAAAAACCCCATACTGCCAAGTCCACCACTAAACCATATCCCTGAATACCACATGTAGATGTCTTTTGAACACCTCCAGGGGTGGTGACTCAACCACTTCCCTAAGCAGCCTGCTCCAATGCCTGAATACATTTTTTCCAATATCCAATCTAAATCTCCCCTGACACAGCTTAAGGCTATTTGCTCTTGTCCTATCACTTGCTATTTGGGAGACAAGACCAACATCCACCATGCTATCTCCTTTCAGGAGGTTGCATACATATATGCGTATAGGGGTTTATTTCTACTAGCAAAACAGGTGTTTCTAATGTAGGTGGCCTACAAATGTGGAACACCAATACTTGATAAGCAGTCTGATTTTTTCATTTAACTAATACAAAAATACTTGGGACAGTAGTTATTCAAACTGAAGAAGTCATAAGATTTTTTAAGATGGACAGATTCCAGTATTTCTGTACTATAAAGATGGGAGCTGAAATAATAGTTTTGACCTAGACTAGTATTCTGAAAGCAATAAGATTGAACTGTATATATTTCCAGTACCTGTATTCTGTTACCCCACTATTCACTGAATGCATTCCAACACATGTCAAAGTTCATTCCCAAAGATCATGACTAAAACAGAACACATAACTTTATTTTTTTATTTATCTGCTTGATTTTCTGAATGTTTCAACATCCAGAGTTTACAGGAGAAAAAAAGTCACTAATGACTCAGAAGTGCACAGAAGGAAAAGGAAAGAAACCAACCATTATGCTCTGCTCCTTCACCTTTCAATTAAAAAAAAAAATCTAAGCTAGCTATAATACCTAGGCCCCTTTGAATTAGCATTTGCATTAAGAACAGAATATTAAAAGTATAAAAAGCATGGAAAAGAAATAAAATACTCTGTAACACAATAAGCTTCTGCTGTGTTGCCACAATTGTATGCTAGCATGAGGTTTCTGAAGAGGTAATATTATTTCCCCCATCCTAAAATCCCTTTTGACAATCCACAAAACCAAAATAGCAACTATTCTTTTAAGTTAACCTAAATGCAAGCTAATAGAAGTTTCCATCTGCCTTTACCTGCAGAAGTTGAGACCACAGGATTGCAAGCTTAAAATCTTCTCTGATCTTTTTCAATTTAGAGATAAAAGATTATTTTGATTCAAAAAGTGTCTTCCCAATATTAGGTAAGGTTGGAGCTAATACACAACAGACTACAGAAGCCAATGTACATTCCTATAAACATATTTTCTTAATGATAGATATTATACAACTGAAATGCCAACACAGAAAAAACACATTTTGAATTTTCATTTTAAGTACTTTTTACTAGTCTGACAAGTTGAGCTTTTAAACCACTTCCTGATAGTTTAGCAAGCTAAAGAAATGCCAGATTTAACATTTTTCTAACGCTACACTATAAAAGAAAATCCCAAAAAAACAAAAATCCTCCACCCCAACATTACTTAGAATTTCTTTTACTATGCTTACATTGCATATCTACTTCAAATTATTTCTAAATCATTCACAGCTTCACTGTATCTTGAAGAAAATATGAAGAAAACTAGAAGTAGCTTATTAAACATTTGTTGGTTATCTACATTCAACATCAGGCAAGTAAGAGGATTTATATTTCTAGTCCTAAATAATATTAGCAAATCTTTGGAGTGATACCATTCATAATCCAGCCAAAGCATTTTTGTCTTCTTCCATTCATAAAGAAACTATGTACTGTGGCACAACTGGGTGTATTCTTTAATACATACAGGCTGGGGTTTTTTCGGTTTACCATCTATTTCTATAATCCGTCATTTATTTTAGGTATTTATCAGCAGAGAAACAAATCATGGTTAAAATAAGTTAATTTTACCTTTTTCTCCAGTTCTTGTTTTACAAACTCACATTTCCGTTTTAGTTTTGTATTTTCTTCCTCATTTTGGGTTAATTCTTCTGTCAACTTATCACACTCAACTTTTATTTTTTCCAGTTGTCGACACTGAGCCTTGACTATGTTTTTCTCTTCTAAAAGTTCCATCTGATGGTAAAGGGAAAAAAGATTACAAAGTTACTGTATGGGTTATTTTAAAACACATCCAAACTCTAAAGTTTTATATCAGTGATAAATGTAAAAAATTAAATTAAGTTCTACTAAGTGCAATTACTTATTTGAACATGGAAAACACACATCACAAAGTTGCAGAACCATACAGTGCTTTAAAAGCAGAAAACAGAAGTCTCATGTTCTTCATTTCAGCTCTGCTACGCTCATCAGCTTACATCATCCTGAGAAGCCTAGTATTTATACAGCTTTTCCATTACTAAAATAATTTGGAATCAGAAAGTCTAAAACTCATTTAATTTCAGGAACCAGTGCTAAATTTATATCTGCAAGGAAACAACAGCAAAGATTTAGTATTTTTAAGTTCTAGATTTGTGTGGGTTTAGTGCTGTTACTTTGTACGATTAATGCTACTCATGAAACTTTGCAGAGAAAAATGAAGAAAATATGTAAGGATCTAGAAAGCCCCAAAACAATGAGTAAATAATGTATATTTGTTTCCAGTGAAAAAATTAATTGACTGAAAATGAGAGATTTGAGAAAAGCTCCATAGTATCTAGAAAATTTTAAAAAATACAACAAAGAAGCAAATTAATGCACACATGCGTCAAAACCAGTTTCAGATTAGATGACGTGAGGGATGCAGTTAAACAGAAAAATAAACTTGGAAGTAAATTTCTTTGTAAGGAAATGCAAAAATTCTATTTCCCAATTACACTATAAATATAACTTCTATGAAGAAGAAGGGTAAGGAGAGAAGTTTTATGAATTAATTTAGACACTAAACTGGTTACAAAAACTCTTCCAAAGGTCAATTTGAGAAAGAACTTCGGCATTCACAGTCTACAAAGATTTAAGACCACAAAGACAAGCCTGCAATGGCCAAAACATCTCCTGTGAATATGCTTATGCTTATAAAAATCAGTTCTTACTAAAAGTAATTGCATTATAACATCTATGCAGATGGAGAAATTTCAAGAAAAAATCCTTCACCTCTATTACCCTTGAGACACAGAAGAGAAAGTCAATACTTATTAATTTCCAGTATGACAAGGTAGATATGACTATAATTTAATTGATCTTTATTGAACCCAATTTTAACATTTAATACTCTCCAGGAAAAATCGGATGGCACAACTGGAAAATGTATAGAAAACAATTTAAAAAGAAATATACACATTTACACAATTTAATATGTATAGCTACATATCTCTATAAGTTTAGATTAAAGATTAATACTTCAAACACTTCCATACTGTCAGGCAGCAGGAAATTTTGTATGTTATCATACTAACAAGCATGTTTTTAAAGCAAATGAGGGTATGTATTAAAATTAGGTGACAGATCCAGAGTTTCTGAGCACAAAGCCAAACGGGGATCACTAAGCAAACCACTTGATTTCCTATGCCTAGTGTATCAATCCTTTTAAATACGAAATAAGACATCATAGAGGCATTGGTTGGGAATCATTTATGATGTTCTAACAGAAACCAAATTAAAAGTTTAAGCATCAGAACTTCAGTAATGAAACAGTAAGATCCTTCTTACTGGTATCTCTAAAAACTCTGTTTTTCTCCACTTCTCTTGCATCATACAATATTTTTATGGTACCTTCCCTACTACCCCAAAAAATCCTTAACTACTTAAATATTTTTCAATCCAGTGCTGCACTACAGAAAACCAGGCAAAAGTGGGGCAGAAAGTACCATACAGAGTAGGCAAGCGAGGAAAGAACAACTAAAATCAAAAGTCACTTCTTTTTACAATCTGTGCAGAAGTTAGTTCTCTAAACACAGGACTCTCTAGCCTTGATTTCCTGGAAGTAACTCATAAATGCATCCTCTTTAAGTTTAAGGCTTTGGATTCTACAAATATATTAAATTTCACTTCACTCCTCAAGTCTCCCTCAACCAACATTTATTTTTAAAGCCTTAACTATCTTTGGACAGGATATGTGTATTCCTTTCCAAAAACAGTTACAAAGGTTGGACACAGCTGAGGTATAAATAAGGTCAACTATTACTGTAACAGTAAAAGACAACTGGTTGCTAGCCACAAAATCTTAGCAGCTTGAAAAGAAAATATAACAGGTTAAAAAAACCCCAACTTTTTCTGTTGGATTTCCCCAAACACTAAGAACAAAATACTTTAAAAAAAAGGGTAAAAAAAGATAAAATGTATGTTAAGTTTACCTTACTTTAGAAGAAAAGTATGTCCATAAAATTGAAATCCAAATGCAATGTAATGATGAGTTCAGACAAAAAGTAACCAAATCACCTGCAGGATGACATGTTCTCATCAGATCTTCCTAGAGATGCATGTGATTTTCTGATTTTTTTTCACTTATAGTCTCTTAATTAAGAGAATCTTGTGCATTATCATTTTGTATACTTCTAAAAAATTTGCCTACCCTAATATCTTAGAAAATTCATCTCCCTCAAACCTTCTGCTCTTAAAAATATATTTAGGATTTATGATTCTGGGGAAGTCATGGAACTGTAAATGAAATATGGAAGTGAATTTTTTAATAGTCTGTTTAGGTTCAACAATCAGTAAAAATAAAAAAGTCCTAACAGTAGGATTTGCTGCTTCATAGAAAAACACAGTCACAATCAACTTACTTTTTCTTATTTGCATCCAGAATACACCTTCCTTCTTCTCACTTGATATCAAAAGTAAACTCTTAATTTCAATGTCATTGCCAAAGAAAAAAACACTTTTGGACAGACCACTTAAATAATGACATACACACTAAAAATTAGGTCTACAATGTTAAGCACTGCTGTCAAAATATTTGATTTTAATGACCCTTCTACTAACAACAACCTAGGGGGGTTTTTATTGCTTTCTTCACTTAAAGGTTTCCATGTTACCAATTGCTTAAGAATTATTATCAAGTCATGAATGATATATTACATAACTAAACACTAGTCCCAACACAGATCCCCGAGGAACACCACTCCTCACTCCTGTACATCAGGACTCCATCTGGACTCTGAGCCACTGACCACAACCCTCTGAATGTGACCATTCAGCCAATTTATTATCTATCTAACAGTCCACCTACCAAATCCATCTCTCTCCAATTTAGAGAAGGATGTTGTGGGGCACTGTGTCGAACACTTTACAAAAGCCCAGCTAAATGACATCTGCAGCCCTTCCCTTGTCCCCTGATGCAGTCACTCCATCAGAGAAGGCCTCTGGGTTGGTCAGACATGATTTGCCCTCGGTGAAGCTGTGCTGACTGTCTCAAATCATGTCCCTGTCCTCCATGTGGTTTAGTGTAGCTTCTAAAAGGTTTTGTTCCATGACCTTTCCAGGAAAAGAGAGAAGGCTGACAGACCAGTAGCTCCCATACTCCTCCTTTCTACCCTTTTAAAAGATGGTGTCCTGGGGTGACTGTATGGTACAATGCTTCCCCTACCCAGTCACTTGGGACTTCATCTGCCTGCCATATTAAAACATTACAGCATCATAAATTTCCTTTTATTTTGATCATATCTATTTTACTATTTTTGAACTAAGATTTTGACCTAAAACTGGTACTGTAACACTTTTACCCTGAACTTTAAACTTTTACAATGGCTTTCAATAACATGTGTGTTAAGTGCTTTAAAGCCCATGCTTTATTACCTTCATCATTCAGTGGCAGGGGCTGTATGTGGGGTGTGTGGGAGGAGGGGGAAAATCTGACATTGGAATTCTTTGAAATAAGTACCTTTAGCACTCTAATCTGAGCCTCTCCATCATCTTTTTCTTGTTTAAGGAGTTTCATGAGCTCTTGAACATTTTGTTCATGTTTGATTTTCACATTTTGTAACTCTGATCTAAGATCTGCCAACTCCTGTTGGTGAATTTCTCTTTCCATCTTCAGCTGCCTGTTAGCTGAAATCATCTCTTCATGACTAGATTCCTGCTGTTTCTGGAGGTCTGAGAGGCTCTTAAGTAATTCCTTTTTGGCTTTCTCCTCTTCTGCAATTCTGTTTGTTAGTTCCACACGTACAGCACTTAAATGTTTTACATCTGCTTGCATTTCTAGGAGTCGTTCTTGGTCTTTTTTATGAAACAAGTTAATAGTTGCAAGTTCTGTCTTCAAGTGCTCCTTCTCAGCTTGCATTTGGTTTTGTAGAAAGACTTGCTTTTTCAACTCATTCTCCAACTTTTTTACAGTACCTTGAACTTCTTTGATCTCTTCTTCAAGAGATACCTGGTGTGACTCCATTTCATTCAGTTTTACCTCTTTACAGTGGAGGAGTTCTTCCTGCTGGGCTCTCTTTGTAAGCACATCATTCAGCTCTTTCCGCAGGTTTTCTATTTGATTTATAGCTGAGAGAAGCTGACTTTTGAGATCATCTTTTTCTTTAAGGGCCTAGGAAAGAAAAAAAATCCATTCTGATCTGAAGTAATTAAAGACAGTTGTTGGAAGGATATCCTTAGACATCAGGTATGTCTATGGAACAATTAACATATGTATGTGAAAATACAAAATTTTTGCTTGCTATGAACTCGGTTCAAATGTAGTCAGTGTTTCTTTAAATTTACACACTTTAGATCATGTGCAATCTCAAACTTGGACTTTTCCTTAAATTATATAGCCTTCTAAATAGGGATAGTTCTGGTTAATTCTCTGCATCTCACACTCTCTCTTTGCAGACTGAGAAGTGTTTCTTTATTGGCTCCTCCAGAAAACAAGATGGAGAAAATAAGGTAATGGAGTAATAATGCAGCAGCACACAGGGATGACTACTGGAAATATAAAGCATACCTATGGTCCACTCCATATGCTGACTTATTTTGTTTATTTTCTAAAATATTACATAGAAAGTATAGCAGCTTTAACCTATGTTTGGAATTATGCCCCGTAGATGAATTAGTAGCAGTTAAAAGCTTGGTTCACTTATGCATCAAAGCCACGAAATAATGAAAATCATCTCCCAAATAGAAATCAATCAAATGCAATAAAATACTAAAAAATTCCTGTGTTTTCCTAGGACCTTCAAGGCTTGGGTGTTTTTTTCAACATTGATATATTTAATGTAAAAATTACCAGAGAATCACAGAATGTGTAAGCTTGAAAGGACCACAATGGGTCATCTGGTACAACCTCCCTGCTCAAGCAAATTTTTCCTAGAACACAGACACAGGATGGCATCCAGATGGTTCCTGAGTATCTTCAGTGAGGGAGACTACACAACCCATTTGGGCAATCTGTTCCAATATATCAGATTCTTTAAACTGACTTAATAAATTTTATACTAAATTTTACTGAGCATTTTCATCAATTCCACAAGCAACACACATTTCTTATGGATATAGCAAAATAACTTGAAACAATCCAGAACAAAAAGACAATTAGGGTTAAAAGTGTGCAGTTAAAAATAATAAAACAGTTTGCAATTACAAGAATAAGCAACACAAAGCAAAATACAAATGTAAAAAAATTGAGGACATGGACTGATGACCATCATGGGTTTTTCCAGAAAAAAAACCTACCCAACAAAAAGACTCTCCTAAACCTATCTTGTAATTCTACTGGAAGAATTCAGCTTAAAAGACTCAAAGCACCACCAAAAACCAAACAAAAACAAAACTCCAGAAAAATTTTAAACTACAACCTATAAGTTACTTGCTTTGAGTATGTTTTCTACATTACGTAACTTAAAGAACATGTTTCAAAAGATGTCAGAAACTCCACTGTCAAACAATATTAAGGACAACCACATGGGCAAAACTTCAACCAAATTATCCCAGTAATTCCAAAAGAATGAAACCTAAACAATCTTTGTATAGCACATTTGTTGTCTGCCAATATTTCAAAAATCTCAAAATTGCAAGCTATGATTGTAACCCAATTTTGAAAATTTTCCATCAACCCTTTGAAGTCTTCTAACAGAAATCAAAGAAAACAAACTGCCTTTATTGTTTTTACAGATTTCTTCCTTTGTTTTTACAGATTTTTGTCTCAATTGTTAATTGCCTGCATTTCAAAGGTACTTAAATTATGTTCATCTAGTTAGCTCAAGTTTAAACTAAATGCTGCATCTAGATTGATTATATCCCTATAAGTAAAACTGCTTCCAACTTTATATTGAGAACATGAAACATTGTTTGTACTTTTTTCTCCTTCACAATGACACACAGTTCATTTGATTTTCTATATCTTAAAATAAAGAAATTTTCTTCACCAGACAATTACCTCAAACCTGTTGGCAGGACGGTCACCACTTTAAAAGTAAAAACAAATATTGACAGCATTTCTTAAATGGAGCTTAAGGCAAAGTTTAACCACTGCATTTAGCATGTGAATATATGTGCCACATAAAAAGAGGTAAAATCCATATTAAAGAATCTTGCATAACAAAGAAAATTTGAACATGGAAAGTGTTATCTAGTGCCTCTACAAAGACCAGCCTATGTGTTTAAAAGAACAGTGATTCCAGAACCTTTTTGGGAACTGCTTCTTATTCACAATTTGTCTCTACTTTTTGCTTCTTTGTCCATTTGATAGAAACCCATGATTTTTAAATGATTCAGGTTTTCTTCCTCTCCTTACAACCACCATTTTCTTAGGCAAGACTGACCAGCTTCTTACATGTTTAAGAATCTTACTCTCCCAGACAAGTGCTAGGGCAAACAAATACAAGATTACTATAGAATGAATTGCTGGAGCACAGAAAGAGGAAATAATAATAAAAAGTAAGGAATATGATAGGCAATAGGAGAGAAATAGCAACACCAGGAATCAAAGTTTAGTTTTGCTACATTTTATTAATTTCAACTCAGTGATAGCCCCTTTGTGACTTCTCCTGTGCTTTGACCATGCCTGTGTTCATGTACCAATCTCAGAACAGACCGTTTGATCAGAAACAACACAGGGATTAACAGACATCCACCACTGCGTCCCATTTAGTCCTTGAAAACCTCAATCTTTGAGCAAAACAAAACGGAGGATGGAGCCCTCTCTAGCCCATCACATTCAGCAACTTAAACTGGAAGGATGCCATGAGAAAATATGTGAAAAGAGTATAGCACTGTAAAACAAGAGCCATACAATATGACAGACTGCACCAGCAGAGCATGTAGGTTAAGATAAAAGCTCACAGCATAGAGTTAAGCACTATATCAGCCACTATTAGAAACAAGCAACTTTTGACCCAGCCACTGGAAAACAGACCCACAAACTCATTGCCAACAGAATGGTGGTTGCTACCATTATTCTGATAAAGGATGATAAACATTAGCATTGATGTGAGTGCTTGTCTTTAAAACAGTGTCAGCAACTGAACAAATAAGTCTTCTAAGTCAAAACAAAAAAAACCCCTATGTTTTCCTGAGAAACTCTAGAGGAGGAAAAAAGGAGGAACAAGTGGTCTGCCATACTGAACAAAGACAAACGAAAACCCCAGAAATATTACACAATCAATTTTCAAATTGATTTTTTAAAGAAAAAGTTCTGAAAATTATACAGAAGAGGTCCAGAACTTAAAGCAGAAAGCAGTTTAAGTCACAGTTTATATATAAACTCCTTCTCTTCATTTTCAAAACAAAGGGAAAGGGTACCAAAAAAAAAAATCAAGAAATCTTACCTGACTATTCTTGTCCATCAGCTCACTGATAGTTTGATTTTGCTTTTCTACCTCACGATCCAGTTTCTTACACTTCAGTTTCCATTGGCGGATGGTTTCCTGGGCTCTCACCTTCAAATCCTCTCTTTTTTTCTCAATCTCCAGCCTGAGTGCCTCTGAGTGCTTGAATTCACTGAGATAGCGTTCTGCTTCCTTGGTACTCTCTTCAACCTGTTGAGCTAACTCAGCAGACTGGAGTTCAGTTTGTCTGCGTCCACTCTCACATGCCTTGTAGCAATTCTCTATCTCCTTCAGCTGATCCAGCATTTTTTCCTGCTGCTTCTCCCTGTTTTCCAGGTCAGATGTTAACATCTGGAATGATAACAGCAAAATACAAACATTCTCTAAAGATGTGCAGTATGAAACTTTATCAAGTAACATACAGCAACATTAAATCACATTTTTATTAAGTATGAACAGCATAAAAGATCTTCTTGACTATCAAGGAAAGTCCTGTTAGCCCAGAGAATCTCTCCCTCTGCAAGAGTAAAGAATTCCAGCACAAGACATAGAATACATACTACTCAATTCTTTCTGCATTTGTTCCTCTTCTAGTTGTTCTTGTTATTTTTCTGTATTCCAAGTTTGAGATCAATCATTGACTATATATTACACACTACACAAATAAGAAATAAACTAAACAGTAAGATATAAGGAGATTAATGTAAACAGATGAGAGGAAAAGAATAACTGGAAAGGACAAAACAGCAGTCACCACAACAACTGAAATTTATAGTTTATGAGCTAGTTGTTACCCAGTTTTATGCTGGTTGCCTTTATGAAAACAATATGCTAAATAAAGGTATATTTCTTAGCATTGAATACAAAGAGAATACAGCAGCTTGGTAAATGCTTCTAGAACAAAGTGCAAACAAGTTTGAAAATGTAAGGGGCATATATAAGCCTTTCAAAAATTAATTAAATTAAAAACACACATTTTAAAAATAAAATATTCTCTATTTCTCAAATCAAATTTCTCTGAACAGTCTCATAAGAAACTCAGGAATAATAGTGTCCATACACATTCTGAAAGGACATACTCAGAAATCAGTTTTTGAAGGTACACTAGCAAAATTGTATTTTACTGAGATCATGACACAGAAATTCACATTAGTATTCTGCATTTTGAGCCTATTTAGACTGCTTTCATACCACTCAGCCTTTTCATTATGAAAGATAAATTTGATAGACCTGATCTATAGCCAGTCAAACATATTATCAAGCCTCAGGGGACTGAAATACTTTTAAGAGGATTAGATTTCAGAATGACTGAAAAAAAAACAGTGGATGTAGCCTGAAATAAACAGACTGCAATTCAGAATGGACAAAGGAAAATTATTTTATCTATGAAAGATTGGGCAACTTTACAGATGGACACAGAATGACTATTTAGACATGGATACTTCCACAAGGTGGGGGGAAGGAGGAGATTGGGTTTGTTGGTAAGGGCTCTCTCCTTGTCAGTTTGTTAGTTTGGGGTTTTTTCTCTGTCCAAACCAGGCCAACATCTCCTGGCAGGCAGCAAATTGTACCAATCTCTTTGAGATAGCATTTGCTGTACGAAAAAGATAACCAAAACAAGCTTATAAGCTACAATTAGCAAAATTTAAATCAAAACAAGCTTAATTTCCAATGAAAACAGATTAACATACTTCTTTAAAGACAAAGATTTAAACTGAGTATAGCAGATGTTAAAAATAACCTCATAAAATACAATCAGATAGTACATTTACCATTCTACAGATTTTCTAAAAGGGGTCATCATTATTTTAGTCCTATGATTACACATGCTATTATCACTTCCTATTTCATGTCTTTCTGGAGACCATAAAGGATGTCAGACTAAATTGATGTAGTACTCAACACTGCACCACTAAAATATAGTTATTTATATATCATTTCCCCAGAGTACCCACTTCATTAACAAAGCTACTGCTCCCACAAACTTTTTAATGAAATATGAGTCTAATCTTAAACACATAAAATAATGTTCAATTAACTGTAAACATTCCCCTTATCATGTAGAAGTAAATCAACCTCCAATTTATTGATTTACAGTATAATAAAGAGGAACATTTGTTTTAGGTATTTACCTTGATGCAACTAATTTATCAACACGAACTATTTGCATGAGGAGGAAAACTGGATTTTGACATGGATGTACCAATATGAAGTGACTTTTAATGTTTTATTTTTACAATATGTGTAAATAAGATAAACCTTAGCAAAGAGTTTGCACTTTGCTTAAAAGAGTTAAGCCAGCACAGACCCAACAGTAGAAACCAGGTAGAAAACAGCATAATAGCAAGTCAATATTTCATGAAGCCAACCCTGTTAAAGCAAGAGGACAGAGAAAGTATCTCCACACTCTGTTTCTATATCAAAACACAAGTCCCAAATGGACTGATCTGTACTTCTGAATTCCTAGTTATGTGCGATAAATGTGTGTATCTCTGTGTTAACATGGGTGCAGTTGCCAAAATTCTTTCTAATCTATAAGGGCTTGCACTACTGGCATTTAATTGGCTAAAAACTTCATTTGTAGAAGAAAAAGTAAAAGTAAATTTGAGTGAGAATATGAATCAATCTTTATAAAACTGAAAGATTTATATTACTGAAGAATTCTAACATATCAATAATTTTCCCTCAGAAAAACTGAAATATTTTAACAAACTGACTGCTGTACTGGACAATACCATAAGAATACTAACACCAAATCCAAATGAAGAGTAATTAGTAAATCAAACAAGTTTACAGGCTAAAAGAGTCTAAAAAACTCTAAAGAGTCTAAAAACACTTACAGAGAAAGTAGGGTATAGCATCTTTTTAATTTGTGCACTTTAATGATTTCTTAGTCATAATAGTTAAATCTTAATAGTTAGCCACAACAGCCCCATATCTATTTGGCTTCATGCAGAAAAATGACTTGAAGATGATTGTAAACATTTGGAAGATAGCACAACCACTCCCTTAGGTAAACTAGAGTAGCTGAAATAAATATTAAATTTAAAATCTAATTGAACTAAGATTGAACTCACTTCTAAACATGAGTTTAAGAATATGTTTTAACGTTTTTCATCCTGTTCTATTTCACATCACACTGTAATTTTATGGAAACTGTAGGAGGCTAAATGTACAACACACACAACTCAAACTGTTGCAAACAATGATATTTTAATAAATCAAAAGAAATGTCTAATATCACATTTACATCAGAGGCAAGTTAGATTCTCCCCACTAAACAAAGATAAATCACACCCAAGTCAAACATGACTGGTCACTTCCAACTGGGAATCAGACTATCTGATAGGAGCAGCTGTCAGAACAGGCTTGACAAAATGCTTTGTTAGTACACAAGTTTAGAAATTCACATCCTTGCATTCCTTGATGTCTCATTAAAAGAAAAACACACTAGCTATTTTCCTGTTACTGCCCCTGTAGGAGAACGGCAGTGGGAAGCAGATAAGAAGTACAAAGTATTTTCTTTTGAGAAAATGAGGGAAGTCAAAGATTTCTAACTCAGAGAAATGACAATGACCCCAGCTGAGCAGTATTGCATGAGTATTTTCAGGGCAGGAAATTAGTGTTATAAAATCATTCTGACCCTTAAGAAAGCATGTTCTACAAGCAGAAGTTTAAAATAATTTGGTTTATGTGGGTTCTTACCCCATTAATTCCTGTCACCAAAATAATTTGTTTCCCAGGCACAACAAAATCAAAACCCAGAATGTTTTCAGTTACTCATGGGTTTTATTAACCAGCTAGAATACAAATGCTGATGGACACCAGGAAATGAGTTCTGCTCATCTTACCCTCTACAGAAACACTTTAGGTTCTTTTAAGCCTATTCAATAACCAAATTTCATAAAGCTTGTAGGAACTTATTTTCAGAAGGCCATTTTTTAACAAGCGTAATTTGATGTCTTATTTTGATTTAAATCAGCAGAGAACTGACAAGGTAAAGGAGCAAGAGAAGTAAACTGAAGAGTATAGTCCTGTAAATCTATGAAGACAAAAAAAATAAATTCCTAGCTGTGAATTTCCAAAGATATGCAATATCATTTCACAGATAAGTACCTTCATTAGGAAAATACATACAAAATTCCTTGCTTACAGAATGCCAAAATACAAGCTGAACAAAAAGTGAAATCCTTGACTACTGAAATAATACACATGCTTTTGCAAACTCTTTTCTCATGACAGTCACAGCATACAGAAGAAAATTGTTACTGTTCAGCCATTCAACTACCAATGATACATCTAGGCAAGAGCAAGAAACACAGAAATTTCCCATCTTAAATAAGAAGGCTACTGCCTACTTGGATCTCGTTTTATGGTCAAAATCTTCTAACTAAAATTCCAGTACAAAAGACTGCTCTCATCCTTCTCATAAAGAACCACATTAAACATTATAATATGCTTACCATAAAGAAGACTACTAATATTTATGATTATATTACTATATTGCATTTAATTACTAAAAAAAGGGAAATTGTGACCTACTTTTGTTACTCCACTACACTCTGCTATAGAACAAGGCATTTCAATTTTTATAGTTGAACTTCAGTTCTGTGGAATGATGGAATAGGGAATAAGAAAGTAAGTACTAGCTTATAAAAGTAGTTCCAAAAACCATTATTAACAGTAAGTGCTGATAAAATCAGATCAACTTTTCTTTGCACATGGGAAAGAGAAGTAATCCAAACCATGGAATCATGGGCAACAGCAAATATCTTTTTTAGTATAACATGGGAGAGGAAAAAGGTTGGCAAACTCATCACTTTTCAAAGTTCTTCACACAATAAATAATAAGCATGACTGTTACTCTTAGTTTTAAAGGTTAATCCCTAATCTGATACATCACCTAATGTTAAACAGATGACAAATTATTTAAAAAACAAAAAGGCCACCAGGCAAAAAGCAGCAGAACCCAACTCACCTGTATGTGCATCACAAGCTGTGCTTTCTCCTTGTCCTTACGCTCTATACATCTCTTCAGTTCTTCTACCTCTGACATTACAGCATTATGACTCAGCTTTGCTTTAAGTTCCAAAATATGTTTCTCTAGATCTTGCTTCTCTCTCTCATACCTTTCAGCTACTGTAAAACAGCAAGAACAGAGCAACACATTCAGTAGAATACCAGCTCATGGTAAATTAATTTAATCTCAATTAATTTTTGGCAATTTGTTTCTCCACTTGGGAATATTCTACAACCACTGATTTTCACCAAAATATCAGTGGAAAATCGCATACCTGTATCATAAGCTAATAACATTTTAATAACTATAAAACAGTACTTTTCCATCATTTTATAGGGGTTTCCACTCTTCCTCCTGCACACAGCTGCTCCCCTCAAATAAAAAGCCAACCAAAACAACAAAAGCTGCAGCAAAACTGAATAAAATAAAATAGGATGGAAGAAACAGCGGGGAAGTTCTGGTGTAAATGAAATTTGGCCATCACTTTCAAGGTCAAGGTTTTATCTCACCAGAGTAATACCTCCCAATTTGAAAGTCACATTATCTATGAATTTTATGTCTGAATCCTGAAACTACAACCAAAGATTTTGATAAGAGTAAGCTATAAATTCTCTCAATCAGAAATTCAAAGGTCTTAAGTGATAAATAACTACCGGAGGCAAAAGGAAAAAAATCTCTACTTGTCTTCTTCTCATATATCTTTGATGAAACAGGAATAACACAGCGAGGTGAAACACAACAGCAAAAATTATACAAATGTATTCATGTATTTTAACATTTACAGTACATTATAACTTTCCTCATATTTTTACAACTGTTTTATGAGATTAATAGGAAAGTTAAAATATGCAAGGCATATTGCTCCAAATAAACTAACTTTTAAGCAGATACATTAACATGATTGGAGAAAAAACTATTGAAATTATTATTTTGCATTACACTTCTGAAGCTAAGCCCATTTCCAGTGCTCTGAGGTTTGTAAAACATGGAGTCAGAGTCCTGTTTTAAAAACGAAGATATTTTTGTACTTCAGCTTCTGAATTAAGAAAATATGTCATTAGTCAAACCAATTAAATAGTCCCATAGACATTGGACTCTAGAATAGAGTCACTATTTCTCTATTACCTTGAGTAATACATTGCTATGCTAATAAGGAGAAAGATAAAGACTTTCTCTAATACCTATGTGATTATGTTTGAAAAGTTTAAATACAGATAGATAACTAGCAATTAATTGAAGACATTGCTAAAGTGCTAATTTAATATGCAATTGTATCTCGAAATTGTTTAAAGTATTTGTCTTCTAAATAAAACTACTCCAACTCTAAAACTCTAACATAGTGCAAACAGAAGCTCTGACTGCATCATACAGAAAAATTTTCTAAACCACTCAGGAACACGTAGTTTAAAAATTCTACCAGAAAGTCATCAGCCTTATTAACGACCTAATCAATGACTCTTGTTATCATTTTCAAGATGGCAGAATTCAAACTGCAAATGGACTGAAATGCCAGTTTTCTGGAAAATTATTACTTAAAAATAATACATGTTTTTCTTCTGTAAAAACACTATTCAGTTTGCTGAAATTGTCTCATCGGTTTTAACCATGCAAGTCAAAATATTTTATCATAAATTAATTGTCATTGCATTTGTCTGTTAATATTCAGGTGCGAATATGTATTAACTTAAATCTGAGGAATTAATCGGCTGGTTTTGTCAAAACATTAGAAGATTAGACTGCAACTCTAAGATAAAATTAATATCCATGCCCACTAATTAGCTTGCAGGTCTCCAGTGCAAAGTATTAGCTGTACCTGCTCTAATTCTCCTGTCATCATCTTGTGCATCCTGATAGCTCTGGCGATGCATGGCAGCATAAGAGATTTGATGCTGCAATTCTACACGGTCTTCTTCTGCTCTCAAAAGCTGAGAACGAAGATCTTCAATCTAAAATATATGCACAAGCATCAAAAGTCAATGAAAAACAGAACAAAAAACATAAATAGCATACTTCTATTAAACACTTAAAAATATTGCACACAAAACATATTTATAAATACATCTTGAGAGTACTGCAGACGGTAAACAAAAAGACAAACTACTTCCTAATTACAGGCCATAAATTGATTATTCAAAATTAAAGGAAACCTTTTAATTTATGTTGACCACAGATGAGCATTAATTTCTTTAGACCAAACAAAATGCTACCATATTATATGCTGCAATTGTCTTTTCTCATAGCTAGTGAAAATGTCTATCCAAGTTTAATAAAGAGTATGTTTTATTTAAATTGTGCTCCTTAAAAATGCAATGTATTTATTAATAAGAAACACAGGGGTCTTCACATTTTCCTTTCTATCATATATAGTATAGCACTTACAAAGATGACATGTAGGAAAATAGAGAAAATCCAACATGCTGAAGTTGAATTGAAGAAAAATATCTGTTATTCATATTACTCTATATGCCATTTACAATTATTTAAATTCAAAACAGTAATGCAGCTAACTCAAAACTAGTATTCTGCTGGATACACAAGACAAACAACTAATGCTAAAAGATGAGAATGTCAATTGCCCCCTCCCTAGTTATTTCAAGTCTTTTTATCCAGTCCCTCTAAAGGAAAGATATTTAGGAGAAAGGACTTCTTTCTGAAGTTATAATCCAAATTCCTACAAATTTTGAATTTAATCATACATGCATCAATAGCTATTGTTTAAAGCACGCTTTAGATACTTTTTCAGGTAATTACTTACTTTTATTACATGTTACAATGTACCAAATACCTCTAGGTCACTGATTTATGATTTCACCAATTGTAGCACATGCTTTGCAGAACAATGATTACTAATATAGGAGTAGTTCTAAAGTATATTATGAAAGGAAATTTCACAAAATGTGTTTATGTACTGAAAACATACCATTACTATCACTACTATAATTAATACATATGAACATATACACGTAAATGTTTGGAAAGCAGAAAAAGGATAACGAGCTCAGTCCACATATTATACACACTTAAACCTGTCTTCCTATACCTCATGCCTTCCTTCATAAAACCATTTTATCAAAGTATGAGATAAGAATATTAAACAAAAAGACTCAGACACAACCTAATATGAAAACCTTAGGATTTTTGCCACACTAAAGCAGTTACCTGATGCAAAAGAGCTTCTCTACTGCCTTCAGATTCACTCAACTTTTTCCGAGACTGCTCCAATTCCTGCTCAAGCTTGTATTTCAGAGGATGATGAAAAAAGAAAAGCAATGTAGGCATCATAATATAAAAGTGTATTTTAACATTTAATTTTGACACAAATTCATCCACATAAGCATCTATCTGAAATGTGGTATAATATACACACTATTTTTATTTGTCCAAAATTTTAAGTAAACCTTCATTTGTAATAAATCCCTGCAATATTTATTTAAATTACATAAAGGGAATTTTACTTACAGTCTATAATTTTTCCATAAATATATAAATTTATTCATAAAGATATAAAATAATTCATATCACCCAAAACAAAAAAAAAAAACACAAAAGTAAATTTTTACTGGGTTTAAAGAAAAAAAAATGGAAGATAAGTTTTAACAAAGTTTCAAATACATTGTCCCTGGATTTGAAACATACTTTCAAACTCAAAATTAATAATGACTTAATATTTTAAGTCACTTTTGGTAAGTATTTTATTCCTAGAAGTGTTAAAGATGACACGCATTGGTAGAACTGTAATTGGTAAAATCTATGGGGTTTCTGTGTTGTGCAAGATGATGTATTTGAATTGTTCTGGAAACAAGATGACTAAAAAATTGAAGTTCCCTAAATTTAATAAAACTGAAAGTTTTCCTAAAGACATAATATTCAAAATGTGTAATCAGAAATAGTCATCAAATCGATGGCCATGAAAAAAAAAGAAACGAAAGCAAAAGCTTCAAAATATTTTTTTGACTTCTTCCATAAATAGTTCAAAGATCCACTTGGAAATAAATAGAGGTTTTGACAGCAGAAATTGTTATTGTTGAGATAGCAATCTGAACGAGGATGTTGAAAGCCTGGCAAATGGGCAAAGTAAACAGGACCAACATTAAGGGAATGAAGAGAACAACATAACATAAAACATTACATAAAACACTACACTACATAAAAGCTTGGCATAAAGGGGTATACCTTTGAAAGATGCTAAACTTGATGCAAGTGGAAAAAAAACCAAGGAAAGCATAATATAGCCCTAGCATCCTGCTAGAATAGAAATACAAGAAATTTTCTTTTCTATGAAAAGAAAGAGTGACCTATGGCAACAGTTCAGTAAGGGTAATTAATAACAACTATGGTGCAACATAACCAGCATGAGCTAGTTGCAGGGATGAAGAAAAGCTGCTTTGAGCTCCTGCAAATAAGAAACAGCAGACTACATACAAATTCAGAGACAAAAGTAGAGAAAGAAATCAAGGATTATGCCCAAGTTATAAATCTGTCTGCCTGGCAGGATGGAAGAGCCATTAGAAGTAACATACTATAACTGAAGAGCTTTGAAGCAGAGACACAAGCTGACCAAAGCTATATTCACAGTGCCTCTGATGCAGGAAAAAATCCCACACCTTGAATTCTTGAAGAGTAAAGAAAGTTTTGTTCTGCTGGTTTCTCAGAAAAAGAAAGCACATACTGTAACAGATGACACTATGCACTCATTTAAAACCAAACAAAAAAGAAAAATTAAGTCTTACCTGCTGCTTTTCACTTTCATATTTCACAAGTTTGTTTCTCATGAGTTCTTCTGTTTCATCTGCTTTAACATCTTGCTTCCTTAAAACCTTTAGAGGAGAAAAATATATTGCAGACATCACAAAATTTACAGAAGCCATCATTCCAAGGTTGTTAAAATAAAGAATTTTAAAAATCTTTAAAAATAAAATTTTTTAAAAATAAATTTTTTTAAATTTTTAAAAATAAAGAATTTAAGAAAGAAGATCTTGACAAATGCTTTCTGTCTGCATGTAATACTTCCATGTAAAGCCAATGTATATTGTTATGAAAAGATAAATATAAGTTCATGCATACATAAACACACCCATGCAGAGAACAGGGACAAACACAACGTCTAAAGCAGCACTAACATCCTTCCGATGTATAGAGCTCCAGACTCTCAAGTTGACTCCAAACACCTTTAGATTAAGGTCTAAAAGGCTTAAGAGATCCCCTACAGACTAGCTGTGCACACATCAGAGAAAAATAATATAGTCTCTAACATAAAGTGTGCATGTTATGAAATTCAATGCACTGTGGTCAAGAAAACACTACCATAAGGTTGTGTGAGAAGTTAAAAGCAAAAAAAGGAAAAGGTTATTTTTTTCTGAATCTGGACAGATGCTTAAAGCCATAGAACTACAACTGAATCAACTGAAACTTTCCTGATCAATAATTACCAACATTCATGTGCCCTTCCTTGACAACAATAACAAAAAATAAAAAAATTCCATGGCGACTTTTCCCAATCCCTCTCAGACTGAGGTATCTAAAATCACACTGGGTCATTTTAAATATCACTTAGAAATATCAGCTGAAAGAGATCAGTAGCCACACACTGATAACTTGACATGAATTTCTGTAACTGTTCACAAATCACAGTTTTTATCTGCGCAACGTGACCAAGCATTTTTCACACTAGTCACCAATCAATTAATTAGGTACCTGAGCACAAATCTTTTACTTTCATCCCATATCTTGAAACATAAGTACATTTATTGCTTTCATAATTACTTGCTAAAACAACAACAGAACAACAACAAAAATGCACAGCCTTTCCAGAAAGAAATTTCTTTTTCCCAGTCTGTCATTCCCAAGCAGCATTTTCATTTTACATTTATAGGAAAATCTCTTCCTATCTTCCTTGAAATCTGTCCCTATAAATTGTGCCATTTCATTCAGTTTTGAACATTTTCTCTTCACTGTACACTGAAGAGCAATTTCAGTGTATGAAAACAGAATACAAGATATTAATCAACTTCAGTGAGGCCAGGCATTCAGCTTTAGAAGTTTTGGCTTTAAAAGCAGCTTTCTGGAGAAAATAAATGGCTTTATATGCTTACCTTCCTCTTACAACCTCACCTCAGAAAACCTAAGGGTTTCAGTACAGTTTGGATTACTCTTCTGCCTGAACAGCTTACATTAAAATCTGAGACCATGGAAGACATTCATCATAACTATGCCACTGAAAATATTATGTCACATAAAGAGCTATACTTTTAGTCATACTGATCCCTAATCAGATAACAGAAGACTGTAACACATTTAAGGTACTTTCCTAAGTAATCAGTAGAGATTTAAATCCATCATTCCAGTCAACTGTAAAACTCAACACTGCACACATTCTACTCAAAAAGGCTCCTGAGAGAAGTCCCAAAAAGCAACATGACCAAAAGTCTAAGATCATCTCTTCAGCTAATGCTGTTTTGCATTACCCAAGTTCATTGGGTTTTGTTTTGGTTTGCGTTTTTTTCTTTGCTTATTTCTAATGACAAGAAGTATTGGTTCAGAACAGCCTACTTGGAATATATGATGTCTATTAATTGCAGTCAACCATCAGTTTTACTAGCAAAATTAGAAGCTTTGCTATAGACAGTCAAATTTAGGCCAACTTGATTTTTGGCACTAAATTAATAATTAACATAGCACCAAACGCACACGTTATCATGTACAAATTTGGCTAGAGAGGTCAGAATCACAAAGAAAATATTACAGCTGGACTGGATTCAGGAATACTAGTAAAATTTTCAAAGATTATTCCTGCTAAAAGCAAAAAATATCTCTGCATCAGTAGCACATCCTAATTCCCAGTAGAAACCATGAAAATAAATATGCCATTTCAACTTCACTGCCTGATATTCAGGCTATGAAATAGGAATAATTTCAAACAGAAATGCGTCCTTTACTATAACTGATATTATAAATCTAACCTTCCATTTAATTTTCTGCATATTGTAAAAATAGCCCATAGCCATTTCATTTTAAGGAAAATAACAGCTCATATATAGAGAGAGATATAGATAGGTACCCCAGAGTTAAAATACTGCAAAAAAGAAGTAATGTTACAGTAAATGAAACATACTACATGTGCACTGCTTGGAGTGTGAAACCTGCATTGAACCAGTAGGTGCCAGGTAAGCAGTTAATCAAAATGTCATGAGGCAATGGAAACATGTGATCATGCACAGCCAGACAAAGGTCAGCTCTTACAGACAATTCAGAAATTGTACAGGTAAAAGTTAATTGTGTTTTGCCTCCTTTCTGTCCTCTTTTTTAAATAATTCTCTCTTGTTGTTTTGGGCTATGCTCATTTTTTCTCCACTAAAGATCGCTATATAAGCTTTCTCTTAGGAGGGGTAAAAGAAAAAACCAAACAACACATTTAAAGATCCAGCTGATTATTTGATTTCATTTGCTGTCCCCAAAGAAGGGGCTGAGGAAGTCAAATGTCAAAAATGGGAACTAGGAAAAGGATGCAAAGGACAGCAGTTCAAGCACACACTCCTGCCTGATGGCTCACAAACAGCAGGCAGACATTGCCCACCAAGGAATGGCACCAGGCCTCCAGTCAGCAGGATCCTCCTACCAAGATCCTCTTCTGAAAGCATTTGTGTCCAGGTTGGTCTGGAAGAGATTGACGAGGTCGATGAGGCCTTGGAGGAGGCAGGTATATTGGAGGCCACAGGAGACAGAGAACTTTCATGTACAGAGGTCTTCACAGCATGGCTTTGGAAAGGACCAGCTACAAGTTCCACTGCCTGCTAGGTGGTCAGGCTAGATGAACTTTTGATTTTACTAAGGAGGGCAATTCTTATAGGTCTTTATAAAGAGCTCACTAGCATAAGACGGCATTAAAATACAAATGTAACTAGTATACCCCAACTGAGCATACCTCATCCATACACACAGAATATCTGTTGAACCTCAAAACTTCAAAATCATAACTTACTGCTTCATAGATTATTTTTTCTTATACATGAGAAAAACTATGGGGATGATTGTGAAACAACTCAAGCTCTCAATCTTTCCAACATATGGTAACCTTTCAAAAGCAAATCATAACTTTTACAGCAACTTAAGCCTACTAACTTCTCTTAGGGTTTGGGTTTTGGTCTCAGTTTGGTTTTGCTGTATTGTTTTTCCTTTTTAAATAAAACCAGACTTTTTGAAAGCTGTGTACAGACCACAAACTGAAACTTGCTCTTTCAAAGTGAGACTGATCAGTGAGTGTTTCATACTATCACAAACATGCAAACAGAACAGCCGCAAGCTATAATTTAAAGTAAGGCAAAAATTTACCACATCGTAATCTGAATGAAAATACTTTCCCTAACTTGCTACATTATTGATTAGCATGACTCCAAGTATGCTACCTAAACATACCAGCCAGGCAGTTAAAAAGAGACTACCTAGCTATTTCAGTGTTATGTTCCAAGCAAGACTCAGATTCAAACTACAATCAAAACAGAAACCATTGGCCACAGGTGGCATAGCACAGAGCCAAAGAGCAAGTATCAACAATGCACTAAAATATCCAGGTGGCTCAGAGCACAGATCAAGTTTATGTTTGTCTATAAAGATCAGTGATAAAGAAATGCAAAAAACATTGTTCAGTAAGACTTTTGACCATCAGTTTACCCCACCCTCCGTCCACCAGCTTCTTGCAGTTCACAGTATTTGCAGTGGGAGGCAAACAGAGTCTAAGTGTACAGTTGCACTAGGAGAAAGTTAAAAAATGCTTCCTGGCCTACCCAAGTTGCTAGCTTAAGACATAACTGCAGTCACTGCCTTACCACAGTCAGTGGATTCAAAAGGTTCTATAATGATGAATCTGTTTACCTAAAGCATGCCAAGCATGAAGACACAGACACATTTCACCAAAGTCCAAGAAGCCAAGCAGAGAATTTTGTAAAGCCATCCAGGACACCCAATGCACAGAAAAGAATGCAAGGAAAACATTTTTAAGAATGATACTTGATCTTGGCTTAGAAAATAGATGTAAAAATACAAACAAAAGTAAGAGGTGATGGTGTCTTTATATATGGAAAAAAAGAAGCACTGAAGAATCTCAAGATAGTTTTCATTTACAAAACAAATTCAGTTGTTACAGCAATTCACATAGGTCAATATCCCTGGCAAGAAAAGAATATTTGTTCTTCCTTCTAATCAGAAAAATGCTTATATCAGGAATATAGAAAAAATTACAATAATACGATTTGCATGAATTTGTTTGCTAATTGCTATTTTCTAATTTGCAGTAATTGCTGATTAAATGTACCAATACATACTAAGGTAAAAGAGACATAAAATGTGCAGAAAATAAGTTTTCTACAACTACACACAACACAGACAGGTAAAAGATTCAAAACAAAAATGCAAATTTAAAACTTAAAGATAAAACATTTTATACATCAAGTTTTCTTAATGGCCAGTATACATGTAGATATCTTCCTGGTTCATAATCAGTCTATGATTATAGTAATATGTAATACTACATTGCAAATAAGAAGTTTGCACATTATACAAAAAACTGAGAGAAAAGACAGACAAGAGAAAGGCCAAAACAAATGTATCATGTTGTGTTAGAGCCTGCAAATATATAATTTAATAATTGCAATTTAGGAAGGTGATTCTCTTAAGACGGTAAAACACTGACAAGCAGTGGTCAGTTACAGGCACTGCACTTCACTGAAAAAAAATAGCATTTAATCCTCACAAATGTCACACAATGTCTTAATTAGAGCAACTGCTGATCACATGCAAAAGTAAAATTTTATTTCATTTGAAATCTGTAACAGGCAAACTAATGAAAAAATTATATCATTCAACAGCCACAAATGCTTTAAGCAGTATTTCTCTGTAAATCATTCAGGCCATATTAATGACAGGATTTCAAAACTCAGTCCAAACACTACGCTCTTTTCCAGTTATGTTACTTGGGAAGCATCCTGGAGAAATTAATGTAAAAACAAGTAGACTTCAATAGAACATTACGTCTGTGCAATGATTACTGCAAGACTGAGGCCACTGTCAGAGTTTAGAGTCCATTTAACTCACAATTCAAATTACAAAGGATGAGAAACAGAGTAACAAAGTAACAAGCTCAAAATTATAGAAAAACCTGTTTCATCCAAATAACAATTGTAGCAAAATATTTCTTTACTTTATTCTCACTAGGCTATGCAAAAGTACACAAGGCAGTTCAAGTACATTTTTTCTAAAATACAGCCACTTTAACTGTATTTTAAAAAGGGGCTCCTCAGGAAAAATAACTTACAAAAATAAAGTAGAATTTACAGAAGAAACTATTAAACCATCTTAATTCACAGCTGGACACCTTAAGGGAATAGAAGGTCTAGGATGTACTTAGTATTTCATATTCCTTTTGCATGAAATTCAAAAGATGAGCTACCAAGAATAAAAGGCACCCAGCCTGGAGGTTCATGATCACACACACTACGATCATTCATATTATCTATGAAAGATCATATGAAAATTCTTTGAACTACATTTAAACCCATTCACTTGAGTTCAAGTTTTCTTTCTAAGGAAACTATGGCAGTGTCAATGTATCTTTAGAGAACACAAGACATCCTCCCTTTAAAAGGATAAAATAAGAATGTTCCATTCTGCAGATAACACTATCCAATCACACCAATGCATTAAGCATCCCTTCCCCAGCCTGAAGACACAACTGAAGAATCTAGAAGTGGACATAGGCATATTAAAGAGCGATAAAAACTGAAATTCAGTACACTAGTTCTTTTCACCCAATAGGGCATGAAATGGAGGGAAAATGAAACATTCATGTTCATGTGAAAGACTTAAGTCTTTCACAAAAGATTCAGGCAGAAGGATTCCAAGTCTTTTGATAAATGTTACTTTTTATATCTATTTTTTAAAAAGCATATAATCTTCTAAAATATAACATCTCGGAACAGTCTCTAGCTTTACATGAAATACGTGGCATCATGAACAAGGTTCCTCAGTATCACCACACAGTATCAAGCCTTCCAAAAAGCTATGTTACAAATACTAACAGTGAAAACCAAGGAATTGCATATTTCTTTTCAATTTTAGTATCCTACTTCACAGACAGAGATAACATTGCAAATCTTAAGTGGAGCAAAATAAAAAGTCACACTATGTGATGAAACAGATTTTCCAAAGAGAAGTAAAATCAAAAAGTAGTATTTTTCATGTTTTCTAAAACAAGAAGGAAAAAAGCTAATAGCTGTCTCAAATTTTATATTATATTCTAAACATTTCTATTTGTCTCCTAAACAGTATTTTTTATTTCATCAGGTATTGTTGAATAAAACTGAAAGCACTGAAAAGTTGTCTGGCCACTACACAGTGCTTTAGATTGCTCGTTGAAATAAATTAAAGTGTTCATTTGCATGAGCAAGTGAAGTTTACCTTTTAGAAAATAAAAGGTAAACTTTTAAATTGAAAAAACCCAGGTAATGACTTGCTTTTGTTTGCTTAGATTTTCAGGAAGGGCATAGGGGGTAGGTTGTTAGAAGATTTGTGGCAGTTACCAAAAAGGTCTAAATATAGTCAAGACAATATAATGAAGGACAGAGACTGTGCTTGGTATTATCTGATCAAAACAATGCGAGCTGGACTGAGCTAAAACATGTGCCTAAGATATGAGCACTTCTGCCAATTTGACAGGTACAGGCTCACAAATGCAACACATTCCTAACTAAATCTGAACAAGGGAAGCTTTCATTTCATACCTCTTGTAATTGAAGAGACACATGGCCCAGCTGGTCCTGGCGCCTTTCTACGAGCTGTCTTTCAGCACGCATCTCTTCTTCTATCTCCTGAAGTCTCCTCTCTACTCGTTCTGATACCTTCAAAAGGAAAAAAACACATGCTGTTGGAAATTAGTGTGCCTTTTAATACATGTGAAAATATCAAAGGCAAAAATGTAAATAGATCATGGGACAAAATGAAAAGAGAACACCATTTGTATTTTATTAGAGCAGATTTAGAATTGTAGAGAAAATAATTAGTTATAGTAGTCAGTACTCCAGAAGTACTCAGGCAGGGAACCAAACTGTTATCTTGCTGGCAGGATTCTCCTTTATGTGTATGCATATTTTTCTCTACAGTGGTGGCTCTACTCAAGAGTTAAACCTCATTATCAAGGTTAGAGCAGCCTAATGTGAAGTTGCAATACAAAAGTCTTAGCTACTCTGTCACAAGCCTGATTAACCTCTGGAAGGACATTTCTTTCATATCTCCAGCCTGCAAAACAGACCAATGTTTGCCTCTTTAATGACCCAAAATCTGTGAGTAAAAAGTTGTAAACAAGAACTAAATACATGAAAATGAGTGTAACAACACAAAATAATTACATCACTTAGGCTTTTTCCCCAGTATTTTGTGAATCCATGTAGAAACTAATACAAACAACAACAGGTGTTTATTAAAGCAACTTGGATTACAAACATAAAAGTTCAATCAGACTAAAATACCAGAATTACTTCACTTTTGCAATTCAAGCTGCTAGCAGACAGCACCCTCTTGAGGCAGCAAATTAAATTTGTTTCGTTAAAGATTAGTAAGAAAAAAATATTTATGTATCATTTCCTCCCTACCTTAAAACTAATTATTTTAAAACACTAGAAAACAATATATCCATTACCAAATTATAATTAGATAAAAAGAGAAAGAGATAAAAAAGATAAAAAATAAAGCACCATTTGACTATTAGCTTTTGATGTACGCGGAGATGAATAAGTTCTCATCTTTCCCTGTTAAGCACACTTCTATTAGGACTAGGCATATGCAAGCATAGAAAATGTTACCACAAGCAACACAATTCATGTAACAACAGAAACACAAGGCTATGCTTATAATCTGGGCTTCACAAGGCTGCATGAACAAAACACTTTCTTTACAACAGAATACATCTCTCAGAAAACACTTCTTGTTTGTGCAGCCAGATGAACAGTCAGCTGACAGTGTGGAATATTGTATTTTTTCCTAAAACCATCAGAAGATGCCTGGTACTGCATCAAACCACACACTTTCATGAAGCTATGAAAGCTCTGCAGTCATAATCCAGAAAAATTATTTACTAAAAACTAATGTATAAATAAAAGAAAAAGACCACATGGCAATGTTTGTTTTGACAAGTACCACTTAGCATTACTTCTCAGAATTCATAAAATACTCCAGCTAACAGAAACAGAAACTAGGTAGTAGGAACAGAAAATAACATAGTCATTAAACTTGTTACAGCTTTGCTGAAACCAAGCAATAAACTGTCATCTTTTCTCCCATACATATCCAACATAAAGAAATGAAACAGTAATGTTTTAACATTTTTTGAAAAAGTTTTGACTATGTGTTTCTGAAGACAGAAGCTTTCTCAGGTCTCTCATGTACCTTTTTCAATGAAGCACTTTCTTAATAGCTTTAGTGCTGTTAAGCACTAATTTAGTGCACTAATTATATTGCACTATTAAGAAAGAAAACATACAATTCTGACTTGACAGAAGATTCAAAAGTAACATCACCCCTGAAGATGACATTCCAGAGGAGAGTTCAGTAACTTTTTCACTGTAATGGGTGTAGCATGCACAGCAGATAACAGAACACAAGGCAGCACTAGACAGGCTTTAGATTCCTGCAAAGTTCAGATTTCATTACAAATTATCACTAACTCAGAACAAGTAAAAAAGTAACTTTATGAGGTGATTTGCCTTGCCTCTGACTTCCTTCAACTCACTTCCAGGATACAATTGTTGTATTATTTCTAACAAGGTACTACAAAAGATGGATTATATATCATAATAGTTGTCATGGAAATTTCAGCTACAGACATAATCCTCTTTAACAAAAAAAAAAAAATTAAAACCCCACAACCAACACAAACCATCAAACATTTTGATGCTACTTATAACTCCTATCTGTTTCCCATACTTTGTATATTGGTATGGTATTGGTAACACCTTTGCACTTCAGCAAGGCTTTAATGTCCCAAAAGAATTATGTTCCCTGTTTTTATAGCTTCTCTGACTTTCCTAAGATTGTCACAGAGCCTGCAGCATACAATAGTAGGGATTAAAAAGAAATTAGAAACAGTTAATTTATTAAGTAGTACTTGCAAAGTAAACTTAAAAGCATACTTGCCTTCCTTTGTTTCAAATGACCCTGACTCAGAACAACACCTCTACCATGAAACTATGTATCTTGACCTCTGAATGTTATCAAAAATCTTAGTGCTTAGTGTAGACAAGTGCTTCACCAAAGGACAGTACAAAGATTATAGAGGCTCTACACAATGACATGAAATACTAGCACTAAATTACTGCATCCAGAACATATTAGAATTTGATTCCAAGCATGCATTTTTAGCAACAGACTATCTGAATAATAATGATGATACTAGAGCTGTGTCTCCACTAAGCTTTCAGGTAGCTTAATCTGCTTTCATAGATTTTGCTGCTATCAAAAAGCTCCTCCCCTCCCCCACAATTAAACACAAAGAACAGAATGTCCTTTGTAAAACTAGGGTGACATTTAAGTCATCCAGCTAAATATAATCTCATGGAAGATGCTGGATGCTTACTGTACAAAAAGCACAATCCTACTTATTGAGTTCCTGACCTGTTTTTCAGCTTTCCACTGTTATTTCTAGTGCAAAAGTCCTGCTAATAGAAATCTATTTCAACAGATTTTTGCCGCTGTTCTTGCTACGACCCATCAATGCATTCTTGAAACAGGAGTATTAAAATCACAAAAGAGCAAACTTTTTTCAGAGATATAACTTCAAATATTGTTAAACTTTGCCCTCATGAAATATTGTTAAACTTCTCTCTCATGGCAAATGATAATATGTGTTCCTTTTACAAGTCATCAGTGCAGCACCAAAATTCCTTATTCTAGAACTTCTGAGGAACAGTTCATTAACTGACAATAATCCCGGCTCTCTGAGTTATCATAACCACATAACCACACATTTCACTTTACATTGTTGTCTTCTTCCAGAGACAATCCACTATCATTTTATAACAGCACCATCTCAATCAAGCATATACTTAATTTCAACAAAACTGTGCTCTGATGAAGCTGCTTTTTATGTATAAAGATCAGCATCTTGTGCTATTTGAGATGTCGATCTACCCAAGCAATTCCAACAAAATATCCAAGAGGGCTATCTTATATAACCATAAAGTAAGTAAATATTCTTTTAATTGCCTATATGCCTGTCTAGCAATCATCCAAACCCTTTTCAAGAACAAAGGAATCTCACAAAATGTCTAGGTAATAAATAGATTCTGATATAGAGCTGCAGAACCAGAAAGTCTTTTTAGCAAAACTGCACACAAATTCTCAAGTACAAGGCCATGAAGAGTGCTTGACTTGAAACAAGGATCCAACTATGCTTGAGTCACCACCTTCAATGTCATCTGTTTTTTATATTGGCATGGAAAAGCTCTCTTTTGAGGTAAAATATTGTGCTTTGTTGTGATGTATGAATCCTAAAGTACTCAAATGCAGCATCAAAAAGGCTCTAAGATTCATAAACCCTTATAAAATAAATCCTGAACTAGTGACTCAGAAGAACTGTAGTGACTTAGACCTTTATCATCACACATCTACATACAGGCAATTTTCAAACAGGACCAAATATACCAAACTGGAAGCATTTAGATATATGTCTCTAAAAAATAAAGGACTTAAGGACACTGAACCAAAAAGAATGTTTCTACCATGAGCTCATCCTGTGAAATTATCAAGATTTCAAGTTGACAATTTATTGCCAAGAATCATACAGCAGAATATAAATACATGGATGGCAATGCTTGAGGTGATAAACACTCCCAAGCCTAAAGGCATTAAGGATAAAAGTTCCCAAACAACTTTGCACAAAGAAGTTTAGTATTTTGTCTTATCCAACTCATTTTCACCAATGACAATCAATTCTGAATTAAGCAATCTCATTAGAAAAATTCCTAAATGCATACACATGCTAAAGGATGTCAAATATCTACAATAACAGACCCTAGTTTCTACATGCACTCTAATCTCATGCATGCTTTGCTATGCATACCATGAGAGTTATTTTTATTTTTAACATCCATACTAAATTCCCCTTTTTTGCATTTACCTCATCTCACTGATTCTGCCAGCCTCAACAGGAGATCAGTAGGCTTTGAACAAGGGCAAGGGATCCATACCTAGGATTGGAGAGCCCTGGCAAAGCAGCAGTGCACAATGTTGCTACCAGTAGGCTTTTTAAGCGGCAGGGAATTGGCTGGACACGATAGTGAATTATGTCAGAATTTTTTGGCCTGAAAAGTAACACTCTAAAAAGACACTGAAGAAGCTGAACAACCTCCCAAGTTAAAATTAGGGATGAAAAATTAGATTTAAAACCCAAACAAACACCCTACAACAACAAACAAAAAAACCCAAGATAAAACACATCAACCAAAACACATATACACAAAATGACCAAACAATCCCAAGAAACCAGATCACCAAAAAAGTGGCAACTCCTCACATAATATATAATCTATTTTGAGAACCCCTTGCTATAAGACAAGATCATAAAGATATGCAAGTTATAATAAAGACTGGACAAGTTTCAAAACAGAAATCCACAGAGGGATTATTTCTCAGTACAGAAAGCAGACAGATCACTTCCAGACCAAGAAGCTCCTAACTCACAGGTGATTAGACTTGTATTGTACAAAACTATCATTAGATGACTGTCTTATATTGTACAGTAAACTTCCACTTTTTGGGCATTCATCATACATGGCTAGATCCTTCCTAATGACCTGTTTCTTGTGCAAACTGAATCGCAGCTATTCTTCCGTCTTTTTGAAGTCTTTGAATTAGTGGCCTTTTTTATTTTTCCCCTTTTTCTTTTTCCCCCCCTCTCCTCTTTCCAGTCTTCTTTCCATCTGGCTTTATGATGTTCTTCATAAAATCAGTAATCAGCAATGAGCAGAATAATCCAGGTGAATTCTTACTAGTCCTACACATAAAAATCATCCCACTGCAGCTTACTGCATCATTTGTGTCTTCACTAAAAGAATATCAGTAAATATTTCAGTTTTCATAGCGTTATTGCATTATAATGTTCCCTCCCAATTGAGAGACTTACTCTTCTGATATTGCCCTTACCATTAACAATCTATAGAAGACTTCCTTGTTATACCTCACCTCTCTCAGTTTTTGCTTCTCTCAGGTCAAAAGTTGTAACTTTCAATTTCATATCTTGAAACCCTACTTGCTGTATTGCACTGAGCAGTGTAGAAGGTCAAAGAGCTAGTTATTTCTTTCATTAATGAACAGACAGTGCATGCCTCCATTCCAGAGGATTGAGGAACATTTGTTTCTCTCATGCAATGGCACTGAACAGTTGAAATGTAGCCAGCTGTAGCAGCTATTTGCTTGAGAACCACCTTGGTTAAAATTGAGTTTGCTAATTCCTGGTACATGGAAGAGAAAAAAGTAAATATACTGAGAAGTCTGCTACAAGAAAAACACAGCATTTTCCAAGTATCAAGAATTCTTTATCAGATAAACTTATTTTATCCTACCAGGCTACTAGGAGAAATCAAAATTAACATTCTAACAAAGACAATTCCATCATATCTTTCTACAAAGGCTGTCAAGGCAAGTCTTCTTTCCCTGATAGACCCTACCATATCAAGAACATAACTGGTACAGATAGTGTCTCTTGAATCAATCTCCAATTTAATCCAGTAACATGAATTTACACACGGATATTTATTAAGTCCGCTGGTACCAACAAGTGGTCCACGCCAATGATATTGTTATCAGTGACAAACACATCACTACAGCCCTTGGCAGAGCATTTAGTACCAATTCATGCAATTTTAGAGCAAGATGAATCACCTACAGGAAAATATGTACGTATAACACCTGCTCTGGAAAGTCAGCTTTGCTACTAGTATCACAGTAAATGCTTACATAAAGCATACACTCAAGTCCTACGTGTCAAGAGCTACCTACAGGATTCTCACCTACTTATTACTGTGGTGATTCTCAACTTCTCTTGTTCCTACAGCAATATGCTGTTTGACTTTGATCTCAATAGCAGATCTCTCTCAGATTTAAGTAACATAGAGTGCAGTTAGTCTGCTTCCAGCAGATACAGGAAACAAAAAAGAAAAGACTGCCACGGCTGTCCTCCCTCCTTTGCCACATTTTGTCAGGAAGCCTTTAGAGAAGAGTACAGCCCAAAGAGACTCCTTCCATTTTGCTACACAGATGATAAGGATTGAAAAGAACAGGGAGGGAGGGATGAAGGAAGAAGAAACAAAAGTATTTATCATCTTAACACGGGAAAGCTTGTATCTTTCCAAAGGTACCTTGAACAATTATAGGCATTCAAACCAATGTTCAAAGTTAAAATGCACCTTTCTCCAAGGCTGTATATTTTGAAACAGAAAAACACACAATACACACACCTGCAAAACATTTTAAGTACATTAAAACAAGCACCTGAAGTATAAAACTTGCCTTGCTTATTTCATCATCAAAGGGTAACATTTCAACAACCTATAGCAACCGAAATAAGATCATGTTCAGATATACATATCAGTATGTCATACCAATTACCAACAGATACTTCAAACTAGAAGCCCACATCTTGTTTAGAATACCAGATTAAAATAATCCTTTTCATGTTAGTCACACTCACCGTTTCTTGTCTTTGGGACTCAGTGAGCTTTTCAGACAATTCTTCTAGAGTCTTTCTTAATTCAGCATCAGTCCTTCATAGAAAAATATAAGTAAGACAACATTCTATAGTGCAGAAGCTAAGTAGCACCCATGATAATTTCAAGCAGCAACAACTCCCCCCAGAATTTTTTGCTTCCTCAATTTGTTCTATAGCCAATTCATAATAATTTATAGCATAATGAGAAACAAGCCCCAAGTGGAAAATTCATTACAAAAAACATTCCCATTCCTCAAGTGAAGAAACAGAGCATCAGGTATCAGCCAGGTATTAGGTCCACAAGTAAAAAATTATGGACACATCTACACAGTCCTTTTCTACTAGGAATTAACAGTCTAACTCCTGTTATTGCTATTGAACAAAGCACCACATGTTGAGAAAGTATATACATTTACAGCCTGCAGGAGAGCTTGCCCTGAAGGGACTCAGTAACAAGAACAAACTACAAGCAAAGCTATAATAAAAGAAAATCCCTAGACCTTGTCATTTTGTGCATATATTTGAAAAAGCTGACAAAAGCCCCATATATTATACAATTTGGAATCAGTAGGTGTTATTTACATTTATAAATACTGCAGAAGATGACATAAAACAAGCAGTTCATAATCCTGCTTTCATCTACATGTTGCACAATCACTCCTTCACAAAATTATTTTCTGAACTAAAAAAGTTTTTAGAATTTTTTTCCACACTGTTCTCCACACAGAGTTTTATTCTGTTTGTACCGATTTCTTCTTGAGAGCTCGCGACTGATGTCATCTCCCAGGCGAACTTGTTCACTGCTGAGATCCCGAAGAGACTGGTGGAAAGAATGCAGCTGTAAATGAAATACACAAATTATGCCAAGGCTTAGGAACCCTTTTTTTCTGTGATATTCCAAAAATAGATATCTACACATTACACACTTTTGAAAATAAAGTAGATAAAAATAACCTAAAAAAACTAAAACTTCATGAACTGTAGTTGAGCCTGGATGACTGGATGAGGCTTATGCACTTCTGTTTCAATCCACCCTTCACAATACTTGCTCATTGTAGTTTAACTTTCAGTACTTTATTTGATAAACCAAGTTTCCTAACTATGGTTTTTTAATGTGGTTCAGAACTTACAAACTATACCAGCTCTTCAACTCAATGCAAAGCAAATTGAAATATCTGAACAAGTAATGTTCAGGGACATATTTCATGTTAATAGATACTAGTACAGGTAGAACAAAGTTCTGCCCAGCTATATATGCTACTATAAACAGATCACAAGGGAACTTGAAATGAAACAAGCAGAACAGTATAATGTATTCAGGAACTACCAAGAATAGGTATTTTACCTTGCCCAAGACTTTACATACTCCTTTTTCAAACCTCAGGAAAAACAAACAAACAAAAAACAAAACCACCCATCTACTTTCTGAAAAGTACTTTCTGACAAAGGAGGTTTTTTCTAAAAAACCTCCCATTCTCCCCATTCAGCAAGCTCCTCATTTATCATCAAAGTTTTAGGGAGCAAATAAAAAAATGAATAGGTCATTCATTCTTCATGGAACAGAAAGTGACAGTTAATCCATCCTAATGCAACCTATTACTGTCAACAATTCCAGGGCCAGGATTATCTTTATGAAAAAACCTAATTTATAATATTCCTTTGTTCTGTGTCCTAGATTTAAACCTGGATCTTCCACAATCAAGCTGACTGCCCTCAACATTCAGACACAGGCACTACTACCTCCTCTGTATGATTAACCATAAATTCCCACCTGACCTGAAGGACTTTGAAATAACATGTTGTATTTTCAACATGTATGTGCTAAGAAAGAGAGGGACTTAAATGAGTTAAAAGACCATTTGGCTGAAAAATTACTTCAGCCAGAAAAATTCAGAATGGGAATAAAGAGAACAGTGGTTGCAGAAAATAGAAAAAGCCACAACTTTACTTTAGCAGTACAGCTTTATCTCTGGTGTAATTTCTACCTATAATCATGATCAATGGCTACTTCTAGTTTACCATTCCCCAAAGCACTACACTCTTCTCACAAAATAGTTAATGACAAGAAAAAGGCCACATTCACCCACTGAAAAGCAAGAATAAGGAATAAACCAGCAGTTATCATCAAAACCAGAAAAAAATGCTATTTGCCTACATAGTTACTTAATATGAAGAACTCTGTATGCATTGCAGGAACTCCCTTGAATAAAATTTCCAAGACATTTATAGAATATCAAGAAATAATCTAAAGTAGTCCTAAGGATTTTGGATGGTTGGGAGGAAAGATTCCCATATAATATTTCCTTCCAAGGATTATTTTCTGCACTTACCTTAGGAGAGGAAGGAATGGGGGGAGAACTTGATTGAAAAGACAATGAAACAGGGTAAAATAAAAGTCCAAACTTTCTATAGTTTCCCAAAAAGTCAACTGAGAAAACTTGTTGTAGTTAAGTTTAAAATTATTTGGAAGCTGAGATTGATTTAATAAAGTCAATGTGAATACCTTACAATCAGCTTCTTTAACATTAGTCTACACAGATTCACTCAAGCAAGTCTATCCACCCTGTCTGAAAAAAGCAAAAACAGGTAGTGAAATCTCCTCTCTACCTATAGGATAACAGAAACACTATAATCTTATCCATTAAGGTAATTAATTTATTTTTTCTGAAGTCTGGAAGCAGATACAGTTTAAGGGATATGAAAATTACCTGTGGCACACACATCTTCTCCTCCCATCATCTCCCTGAAACACAGGCTCAAATTATCCCACTCACAGGTCAGACCAAGAACTAAGATGAAGAACTACCTGGTTCAAAATCAAGTCAAGCTACAGTGAACTAAAAGCAAAAGCAGTAAGACCCTACACCATTAGCTAAAGCAGAACAATCCCCTTCACAGCCTCACTGAACTTCAGCACGAAGGTGAAGGTTAACTGCCTGGAAGGGACCTCTGGAAGTCATCCCATCCAAGCCCCCTGCTGTGGATACTGACAACCTGGTCAGAGAGAGAAAGCCAGATAAACAATCCCAAGAATTGTTCTGGGGAGTTTTAAGACGGCTGAGAGAAAGAATTAAAACAGCCTTGCAGCTGGTGTTCTGAACAGTTGTTTTCCCATGATGTTTACCAAAGGGTGTCTCCTTAATTAGCCAATCATGTGAGCTGTGTTGATTAAAGGACCAGTCAGGTCCATCCGTGTCTGAACAGGGTATAAAAAGGAATGGGTTCCTAATAAAATTATTAGCCTCCGGAAGAGATCTGGAGTGTGTCACTCATTCATCCATTCCTGATTCAATTGTGACACCCTGCCAAGGGAGGGTCACCTAGAAAAGGTGACACAGGAACTTGTCCAAGTGGGTTCTGAATGTCTCCAGAAAGGGAGACTCCAAAACCTCCCTGGGCAGCCTGTGCCACTGCTCTGCCATACTCATTGTAAAGCTCTTCCTCACACTGAGGTAGAATTCCTGTGTTTCAGTTTAAGGCCGTTGCTCCCTGTCCTGTGACTGGTCACCACTGAACAGTCTGGCACCCTCCTCTAGACACCCATGTTAGAGATATTAATATGCATTACTGAGATCCCATCTCAGTACTCTCCAGACTAAACAGGCTATTCAGAGATTATTTTTCTTTGTCATTAGACAGCCTAAAAAGTAGGAAGATTATTTTCATATTTTACTTTTGATACCACTACCATCTACATCTTTTTCTCTATAATGATTTGCATGAAATTTCATGACAGATACAAGAGGTGACTGCCTAATGAAAAAAGCAGGTAACATTGAAAGCACAAATCATAACTGAAACATTCTTAGCTGCATCTTCAGAATCACCTCATTTAATGTAAAAGCAAAGAGTCTTTGAGACTCTTGGACTCTCAAAGAACAAACATACTGCCTGTTTGGCAGCAGCTCCCATTAGTGCTCTGTACCTGCTCCACATTGTCTGCCTCACTGACAAACCGAACACTTGCAGATCGAGACCTTCGGTGCTTATTGCCCGGTGCGCCTCCGTAATCCCTGAGAGGAGAAGTGGGCAGGAAGTGGTGGTTGCCTGCAGGAGATATGATACAAAAAAAAAAAAAGGCAGGAAAACAATTTTGTATGGGAAATTCTGCATTTTGCTTCACAAAAAAGGCTTATTTCATCTTGACAATATCCTTCTAGGTCACATTACAGACAAAACAACTACTGAATTACATATCATGCATATGACTCTTAGCTCTTCCCAGGATTCTTCTTCACTTTAAACATTTCTTACCCATGACATACAAGTATTCCAGAAAGAGGAAATTTTCTCCAAGGAGTAGTGTTTCCTCAAATTTCATTTGCCCAACCAATCACTTTTTCCTCCACATGAATCTATCAGATCTTCAAACTATTATACTTCACAGCTTTTACATAGAAATTAAATTTTTACAGCTTTCTGCTAAAATATATTCAATATTACCTCTAAAAGAAATACTCCTCCCAAACAAACCTTTTCCCAAAATATTAATGAATTTTGTGACATATACAAGGAAGAAAAAACCTACTCTTTTGTGTGTCATAAATAATTTCTGGTTTTTTTCTTTTCCACTGTTTTCAAACATCCATCATCTCATGCATTTAAAATTTAAATTCCCTTTTTGCTGTGAAGCAAGCTTCAGAAGCTGCAATATCTTTTGGATTTAGTTTTAACCTGTATGTACCTACAACTCATGCAGTGGAAAATTAATTTCCTCAGCTGAAAGAATCAACATTTCATTTAGCTCTCCTGGGATACCAGCAGAAAATACTAACAGAAACACAAAGCTGGAAAATTTACCACATAAACAGCTGCATAACTTAGTGCAGGTCTCCCAGATTTCTTAACTCGGTTTCTTTTAAGTCATCAACGATGACTTTCCATAAGACCATCTCTATACATTTTTCCTAATTTCCTTTTTGCATAGCACAGCCATATGACATAATTCAAGCATACTCAAGCCCTTCAAGTATTTTACCTGATGTTCCTTCTCCATCCAGGTCACTGGGATATAAGCTTGAGAGAGATGCACTTCTCATTCCACAGTTTCGTGTTAGTCGCTGGCTCCTCAACTGACCTATAGATTGCTCCAGTGTTTCTTTCAACTGTAGAAAAGTTATACCTTATTGAAATATGAACACAGACTTGTTTTTTAAAAAGCGTGGAAAATATTGTTTATTTAAAAGTCATTAAGAGTATAAAAACTATTTTAAGCCAATTACAGCTATGAATTAATAACAGCTTTTCTTCACTATCTCATATATTACATTCCTGTAAATATAGCAAAACATGCTTCCAACACTGGCAGCTTCAAATATCAAGTTTCTTAAAACAGCGGTGCACCACATGGTGCACCACCACGAAAACTCAAAAGTTTATCTCCTACAACCAAAATAAGACCTATTTGCCAGCAATGCTCATTAACAGTTCTGCAAAATTCAGAAAATAACTTCCAAGAAATTATTTTTTACTGGAATTCCTCCACCAGCCCTATCTGGAATCAATTTTATATGGCTATCAAATGTCCCTAAGCAGCTTTACAGAAACCTCTATTTTTAGAAGTTTTACTTCCAGGAAAAGGAAGCCATTCCCAATTTAAGACTACAGAACTAGCTATATTCAAAAATTAGTTCTTCATTTTTCAAACTTACATCTCATTTTTTTTACAATTGCATTTGTTAACTTTGGTTCTTAGCCACTTGCCTTGTTACACCTTTATCTGACAATCCACAAAACATCAGTTTCTAAAGGTTCTCCTTCTTCTATGAGAAGCTTGTAAACAATGGTTAAATTGATGCTTTACTCCTGCAGAATTATATGGTGTTGGATCTCTTCCTCTGAAGAAAACAAGCTTTCTTTTCTACACAATTGCTTCTTCACTCTCTCTACCTTCACATGCAAAATATTCTACATTTCATATGTATCTGTTTTAAGGCAGCACCTGCTGCAGCTTGTAACCGAATTGTAAACCTCTCTAGCCCTAGCAGCACTAATTTGTTTTGTCTTCTCTAAGACACCTGTTTTCAAGTTTGTACAAGTTTGAGTTTTGAGTTTCTAAAATGAGAAAACTAATTTTAGAATTTTGCATCCTCTCTGCAATTTAGAGCAAGCTGGTCAACTGTTATAGAAATGACAGGAAAAAATGCTACACCAGTATGATCACAATCTCATTCCCTGCTGTAATTCAGCTTTTATCTTACCACTTCTTCCTGCAAAAGAAACATGTTCCCTAATACTCTATTTCAGCTACACATCTTGTACTTTGCATAGCACTATAACATAATCTACTGGGTGCTTATAAACAGAGAAGTAACGAGCCTACAAAACCTGTCAGTGTTTCTTTACACAACATTATACAATCATGTATAATGATTTAGTTTGCTCAAATAAATTATAAAAGTTTCTGTTTACAGCTACTTAACTCCTTATATATTCTATCCAGTAATACCAAGATGGTTTTTTACCAATACCAAGCTATGAATTCTACTAATGGAAAATACCAAAAAAGTTAAGATAAACTGAAAGTTGCTCACAGTTGTTATTGCTTTGGTTTGTTCCTTGTTGTATTCTCTGTATTGTCCTAGCAAATGGTCAACGTGTCTTAGATTTCTGTTGGTATCCTTAAACAAAAAAGGTTTAGAAAAAAAGTCAAAACAGAAACTTCCTCTAATCAAACATTACTGTTGTCTTTATTCTTATTGGTTACTAAGATTCAATTGAAACACAAATGTTTTCTAAAGGCTCTAAGCATTCAAAATCCTATTCAAGTAAACCAGAATATGAAAGGATACAGCATAGCTAAAGGGAGGAAAATGAAGGAAAAAAAAAAACCCACCAGATTCTGTAATTTCAGTACAACAGTAAGGCCTCAGCATCAAATAAAAAGTTTTTTTAAGTTTCAGCCATTCTGTAGAAAAAACTTTTTAATCCAACAATCTTAACATTACCTGCTTGTAGAACCGAATAGTTATCTGAGAAATAACAAGTTTTTGAAGGTGAACACACTAGGTAAGGTCACTGCATGAGTATTTTCTGACCAGATAAACAGCTGGATCAGATGGAAGATCTGCTGAAAAGCAGTCCACAAAAAGCAATTTGCTTAAAATCAGAATTTCAGAAGAGCAGCTAGAAAGAGGTTTGACAGAATCAGAATACCAAAGAATCCCTTTTAAAAAGTAGTCAGACTGTATTCTTCTTATTATATTTTTTCTAGATTGATGTTTATTTTCCAGATAAGAAGTTTTAAATTTTAGATTTACCATTCTATATTGATTTTTCTCTTCTCATATATTAAAAAAAAAATTTCTATCCAAACAATAAGTAATAAAACATACACCCACCCACTCTAGGTATTCAGAACTGTCAACTAGAGAAGAATGGGAATAAATTGTCCAGCACTAATGGTGTCAGGATAGCTAAATGTCTCCTTCCATTTGCAAAACAGATATTCCCTCTGCACTCTCCACTTTTTCTTGCTCTCTTACAAGTTTAGAAATAATGCTTCTCACAGTGCTTTTTCACATCTATAAAATACCTGAAATGTAAGCTGTCTCCTGAAGGAATTGAGCACTTATCTATCAGAAATTTGGAAATGTTACAGAGTACAAAGACAACCAAGACAAGGCTGAAACCTTCTGCTAGAAAATTTCATGCCTTTTGTGAGAATCTAACAAAGCTGATTTGCCCTTACTCAGTTTGCTAACTTTATAAATAGTATTCCCCAACACATCATTATTTCTAACAACACTCTACTACTGTCTGATATAGCTGCTGTATCAAAGTGCGACAAGCCACACATTTTCAGCTCAAAAGCAGTATGAATTATTTCCCAAAACCATCTCTGGTTTGCAGAGAAAGCAATGTTTCCCATCTGTACAGTACATTCCACAACTTTAGAAATGAAAATTTGACCCAGGCTCTATAAATACTTGAAAGTTGTATTTTGTAAACAACCTGCAAAGTGCTTGCTAAAGTATGGATCTTCTCTGTAACTTCTTCAGCACCATAGTTCTGAGCTCTGCTGTGGGATGCTCTCAAAGGCCGCCTTCCAACCCGACCTGTAAATAAGTTGTCTGAATCACTGGATGAATCTGCCATCAGTGTCTTGAAGCCTAGGCAGGAAGAAAAATTAATGTGTGTTAATTCCTGTCTGTAACTGAAGTCTTGCACAACATTCCCAAAGCAACTTCATAAACTCAGATGGCATTTGCCTTTCTGGTTTGGGTCAGCAGGATGTACTTCTGAAGCACATCTTGCAACTGCCCCTCAGTTATTGCCTTTGTTCCCACTCTGAAGCAGGGTCAAGATGCAGAAGGCAGAGCCTCTTAGGAGCTAATTAAATCAAAATATTAAAGCAATAAATTAAAAATTAAAGCAATCTCACTGCTTCCAAACGTTCAGTACCCATTATCAAATCACAGCCCAAAGAAAATTCTCCCCCCCAAACACAGAGTGATAAAACATCAATGTTTTATCAATCTTCCTGGTCTGCAGAACCACTCTCTTTTACTTCACACTACTCACTAAGCTGTCTTCACAATGGGGATTGCTAAATCTCAAGGACAGCAAAATAGAGGGAAAATAGGTCAACAATCATCAGATGGGCAAAATTATTAAAAACTACAGACAGCTGTGCCTAGAATAGTAAAATCACATAGTAACTGATTAAATAACAACCCTCAAAAGGTAGGTTAGATTGAAATTTTTTCTTAAACTATTATACACTGCAGCAGTTTGCCTGCATGGAATGACTTGGTGAAAGAAGAAATAGACTAGCAAACTCTTGAACCTCTGTAGTCAACAAAAAAAAAAAAAAAGTCACAGTAAAGATGACATTCTTCTAGCTATGAGGGCTGAAATTTACAAAAGAAACCATGGATGGATTCAAATCTTGTATTATATTTCATATAGAGGCAACTTGATGTTTTTTCAAGTCTTTATATTTAATTTTCAAAAGGTTGCACATTTGTGTCCCCCAGACTTGGATAAAAACCTTTCAAACATGAAAGAACAGCAAATCAACGTGCTTAGTCTGTGCTCAAGTATATCAGTATTCCTTCTTTACTGAACTGGTGAATTTAACTCATCTTTCCTCTTCTTACCTCACCTCACTAAAGTACATTTTTACCAACAGTGTCAGAATTTGTTCTTCCAGTGCCTCACTCTAGTCAGCTGCATGGAAGTCTTAATGAGATTGAATAAACACTAAACACTGGGAAATAGAAATTACAGGATATTTTCAAAGACAAAGAAAAATAAAATAAATAAAACACTGGTATAGATAATAACACGGAATAATATTGGCTTTACTGTAATTTGGTAAAAAAAACCAATCAGCAAAACCCAATAAAGAAGTAGACTGAACCATAAAAGCCCCAACTACTGAGAGGAGGAAAAAAAGGGAAATAAAGATTTACAACATGAAAGATTAATGGGTTTATTTTCAGCTGTCCAAAAATAGGCTCATGAAGATACATACTAGCCAAAGCACAGAAGAAAGGTCAGTAATCAAAGTAAAAATAAAAGAAAGCACAGGATAAGGAGGACATTTTGTCTGAAGAAAACTTACTATTTACGGTTAAGCATTCCTCTTTGTTCTCATGAGCAACCTAGAAGGAACCACAAGTACTTTTAAGGTGAAGAAGTTGTTCCACATAAGTCAGTATCCTCATTTTTAAAGGAACTGTGCAAGTTTCACTTTAGATTTAAAAAAATCACCAAGAAGCAGAAATTTGTGGAAATGTTCCACATGCACATCTGCCTATCAATTGAAACAAACAAAACAAAAGCTTATCACTTCTTCCAAAAAGCTACACTAATTTCAGCACATATGACCTACTGGACAGTAAGAATCATTTGCCTCTTACTGGTTTTTAGTTCTACCCAAGCAGATCATAACCTTTGCTGAACTGATGAAAAGCATCAATACTCAGTATTTTCATTTCCTGTAGGAAAGAGAGCATTTCAGCTTCACTGAGGACTTTTTAAGAGATCTGCCAGGTAAGAAATAGAGCTGACAATCTCAACGTCAAGCTCTTCAGCTCGAGTAAACAAAAGATAAAAGTCAGTGTACACAACCTGATTATTCCTCGAGTGTTTTACTTGTTCAGCTCCACACAGACTAATCTATCACTAGATAACTAACTTAGTGTTAAAAGAATGGTTGAAGCCTTATAGCCAAGACTGAGCACAACGAAAAAAAAATTTATAATCATTTCAGAAAGGAACAATATGACATTTGAAAGGCCCTTTCTTTCAGTGTTTGTATTTGAGTTTGGAAAAAGACAGGAAGGTGATCCCATATGGTGATATTTCACTATCGTGCCTTCAGGGACCAGTACCCCATTTTACTATCAATTTGTCACACCGTGCTCCCAGCACTCTTCAGCAGCACAACACAGAAACGGTTCCTTCGCACTGTTCATTAGCAAGTAATGCCCGCGGGGAATCCTCCTCCTGCCGGGCACGCAGGGAACTTCACTAACACCCGACTCCAGCTCCGAGAGTCCCCCGGTTCTTGGGCCCGGACAGGAGCCCAGAACAGCGCCGGGCACGCCGCCGGCCGGGCCTCCGGAGCGCCCCGCGGCACCCCGCGCCTCCCGCCGCCGCTCCCAGCCGCGCCCGCCCGCCCGCGGCGCTCCATACCGGACAGCCGCCTCCCGCACACCGCCCTGGCCGCAGCCCTTCCGCACCCCCAGCCCGCACCGCACAGCGCTCGGAGACGAGGCCGCCCCGTCCCCGGGCGCCTCCCGCCCGCCTCACCTCGCCGCTATGGCAACTTGAACTAGCCGCCCTGCCGCCAGCTGCCGGGGCCGCGGGCCGGGCGCCGGGCCCCCCGCAGCGCTCCATGGGACACCGAGTCCACAAGCCTCGGGCCCGCCATGGAAAACGCAGCATGCGGGACTTCAACTCCCGAGAGGCTTTGCGGCAGCAGAGCGGCGAGGGCCGGGCAGGTCCCGCCTTGCTGGGAGGCCGTTGGGCCTGCGGAGAGCGGTGGTGGGAGGTTCCGCAAGTGACCTGGTGTTTATGAACGTTGTTTTGTGAAACACTGAGTTTTTACAAAATACACATTGGTGTTTACAAACAAGGCAGCTAAATGACTGCGAAGAGCAGAAACAAAAGCTGTCGCACTGGCAAAGCCGGCGAGCCTGTTCCGCTTGCGAGCAGATGGCTGATAGGCTGGGTGGGGAAAGGCATTGAGCTACCGAGAGCAGCTGTTCTTACAAGGAGGCGTCTCCCTTCCTGGTTCTTGGCTGCTTCTTGTTTCCTTAAGCCACGCATTCCCCTGCTCCCAAATGTTGTATCCATTACCCTCGTGTGCAGTAAGAACGACCAGGTATTACACTGTGCTCTGACTGACCTATAAGAGAGAAAAGGGATAAAGAGTGCTGTGACCGATTGCAGGAAATGTCTCCTGGGCCTCTGAAATTTGGGCATGGCTTGCAATAGGCCAACACTCACTGGAATATTTGATCCCCTGTAGGTGAGCACTCCAGCCAAAGGTAACTGCACTGCCCTGGTGGTCCATTTGGCCCCGCACACTGTGTTCACCAGTGACAGCAGGATATTGAGAGAGAGCACATGAACCTGGCTATGTACTATGCTCTAACCCTCTGTAGTTTCTTCTGGCATCTACATTTGTCGCGTCAGAGCTCGTTTGTAAGAAGGCTGTTTCCTTCGGTGTCTGTTTACAGGCCTGTAGACCCGCAGTTTGTATAATCCTGTGTGCCTTCCCGACCTCCTAGCAATGATTTCTGGAAGCTTACTTCTGAGTGTGTAAAAGTGCTTTATTACTACTCTGTGGTTTTGCATAATTTAAGGGGTCTTTGCTGAAGACTGTGCTAAAGGCAGATTGAAAATCTAAATAAACTGTATCAAGAGTTCTGTTGACAGCTTCAAAGGACTTTCAAAACATATAAGGAACATCTGTCCTTCAAAAAAGCTGTTCCGATTCTTCCTTCAAAGAGCATACATGCATTAATTTTATTCTTCCTAGTAGTTTATACTGATGTACCCACTACAGTTCTCAGAGTTGTTTTTGGAATTGTTTTTTTGAAGCTAAAGAGTATTGTGATTTTGTTTGTTTGTTTCCTTTTGTCATAAGGATGTTAAATATGTGCATAAGATTGCTACAATACATCTTCAGTTTGGAATGAGGATGATGAGAAATTATTTAACTGTGTAAAAGAAACCACTATACTAGACAAAATTATAAAGAAGTTGTTTAACTTTATAAGAACAGAACCCTTTAATTTTATTAGATGGATTTGAAAAATTATATCCCAGCATTCTGTTATCTGAAGTGCTGTGTTAGACAGTAACATGACGGTGCTTGCATTTAGAGAGGCCAGCATGGTCTTTCTGCTTTGCGTTAGTGCTGCTTGATTAATGCTGTTGTGCCCCTTGACTAATACAAATATATAATACAAATACAGATCTTGGCTAAAACTTAAAAAAAATATTATTCTGACCCATTACATATATATAAATAAATGTGCATATATATATAAATAAATGTGTATTGAGTCTGAGGACACATACCTTAAGAGTTGGAAAATCCAGAAGGACTATAACTTTTTTTTTTTAAGCTTAAATTCAATTTTTAAAATTTTTGTATTTGTCACCAATGATACCTTTTCATGCTATACTACTTGTCCTCCATGACAAGTCATTATTCATGTAGCTTTCAGGAAATTGTTTCGCTATTTCTTTCACAAGGCTATCAAAAAAAAAAAGACAACACAAAATAAATAACTGTCCTACAGATTCATCTTTCATGGTACTCAGAAAATGAGTTCTTTTGTGACCAGCTATCATAAATGCATAAAAGAGGAGAAGCACCATGTGGTAGATGAATTGTCACCTAAGTCAGTGAGCTTGAAAGCCATTTTTTATTTATGATTGTTGTAATAAACACTCAAACTCCTCTATTAAACATGCTGGTCTCCTTATTGAAGGAAGTATGTGCCATGACCCAAGTCAAAGAAAAGTGCAAGATCTGTCTGAAGTCAGAATTATGAGGGCAAATTCATTTTTGCTAGAGGTTATTTCTAAGCCTGGATGCCCAGGCAAGAGATGCAGACAGAGCAGAATGAAGTCAAAGATGGCTAGAAAGCTGACTTTAGAAGAAGAGGAACAGGGAATGTAAGCCTGAGGGAAAAAAATATACAAAGAGAGACATAAGTCCGTAGGCCCTGGGATGCACCCATGGCTGCTGAGGTAGCTACTGGCAGGATGATGGACACCAAGATAATTAATTTCTCCATTGAGGAAAAGCTGAGAAAGCTGGGCTGTCTAGGCTGGGGAAGAGAAGGCTTGGAGGATCTCATCGGTGTGTAAATACTTGAAGGGAGAGTGTCCAGTGACAGGGCAAGAGGCAACGGAACAGGACTTTCTGTCATCATCAGGAAACTCTTTTCAGTCTTGAGGGTGACCAAACACTGGCACAGGGAGCATGAAGAAGCTGTGGATCTACATCCTTGGAATAATCAAAAGCTGTCTGAACACAGTTCTGGGGAACCAGCTCTAGGTGACCCTGCTTGAGCAGGAGCTTGAGCAGATGGCTTCCAGGGTCCCTTCCAATCTCAATGATTCTGTGACTCAGTGATTCAATAACTCTTTCTGTAGACAAATATACTGCCTGAAAACAGCTCTCATCATTCTTACCTAAACTAATTGCTTAAGGCCAAGAGATAGTTTCATCTTGCTCATCTGTCTGAGCACTCTTAGAATTGACAGCCTCAGACTTTATAAGGCTTTACACAGCAGTACCCCCTCTTTATCCTGCAGCCTACTGGGTATTTCAATTTTCACAGTTTTTCATGGATTCTTACAGTAAGGAAAAGCACAAGAGTTCCTCAATATCCCATAACCATAAACCTCCAAAACTACCTTGAAATAGAAGACAGTTTTTTTATATGAACATGAATCTTCAAGAACCTAGAATAAAATTATTTCATATAGCTGTTCAAACACTTAATAAATGATGCTGTGTCAAAGCAGTGTGTCTAATGTATTTTTTTCTGAGAGGCCAGAAATTATTTGCAATACTGAAATAGAAACAGGTAGGAATTGGCATATCTTCCAAGCATCTAGTATGTCAAAACACATGGATTAGTCAGGAAAAAAACCCCACCAAGTCTTTTAATCTACTCTTTACTGATTTGTTTTCCCAGTTTAAACATTTCCTCATGCAGTTGTTCCTAGATGTGGCTGTTGATATCTGGTGATCTATGTGGAACACTAATTAGACCTAATTGCTTCTTTGTTAGAACCTGTTGTGGTTTATCTGATTTGTGTATAAACCACATAAGCAGTGAAAGGATAAGTGAGAAACTGCATCAAATCTGAAATATGATGATAATGTTATTTTTTTCAGAAAGCACCACAAAAATGATGGAATTCGGAGCCTTGCAATGCTTGAGAGGACATGTAGTAAATGACAAGCTGTGGCTGTCACTAGAGGGAGTGCCTGTAACAGTGGAAAAAATGCCTGCCAAGCCTTGCTGTATCTAAATTAATAGGAACATGCAGGGGTCTCTGAAAAAGAGCCAGGAAAAAAATCTGCAATATACAGTGATTTAAAAGTGACTATCTTTCCTATATGTGCATTTGAATCAGAGCACAAGACATTCTAATTGATAAAAATGACTTAATTTCTCTAGCCTTGGGGCATACAGGATTTTGCATGTCTGTTCTTAGGATTATATTTATAATTGTGGATGTACACTTGTTGGTGATACTTTTAATACATTAACTGGTTTTAGTATATAAAAGAGAAACATTTATTAATATTCTACAGGGTTGAAAAGTTGCCAGTCACTCTAAGCTGCTAGATGCCATCACTTTTCAAAACTGATGTGATCAAAACTATTGATTATTGTTCTTTTTTACAGCTTAAAACAGTTGCAGTCTTAACTAAGCTAAGCAACTGTGTTCTATCATTCCTTCAGTATAGGTCATGTTTCTAAACCTACTGTTTTCCTTACTATCCTGTCAATAATCCTGTTTGTCTACTTCTTGATGATAAAATATTCCAGACAATGCTATAAATGCAAAGTGAAATTGAATAATTGCAATATATTTCCATATTTGTGCCATGCAGAGTGTGTCTTATTGCATGTAGCTACCTGTATTTTTCTATTTAGAATTTATTTTCTGATCCAGAGTTCAGAGACCTCCCTAGCCTGGAGTTATCTGTAGACTACAAACCTACTCTTATTTCCCCCATCTCACTGGACCTGTTCTTGAAAAAGTTGAACAGAAGGACTGGAACGGGCTAGAAGAAGCCACAGCATGGCAATGCAAGGCTAGCAGCTCCCTCAGGGCAGCACCAGGAGCCACAGAGGATCCTCCTCGAGCAGCAGAGAGGGCCTGGCAGCCCATTCCATTCCATCCCACCAGCCCTGCGGGGGGCTGGGCTGCTGGTGGCTTTTGGGGCAGCTACAACTCTAGGTACTGTCACCTCCTTGGGGAACTGGGACAGGCTAAGGCTGGGCCAGGATGGCAGCCTGGGTGTCAGGGCTGGCATAGCAGAGCCAATGAACAGGCAGCCCCTGTTTGTGCATGGTGGTGCTAGGGCAGGACTGATAGCCCTGGAGGCTGACACGGTCCTGGGTTTTGTGCAGGCTGGAGGAAAGGCCCGGTGGCAGCCAGACAGGGGCAGTCAGGGCCATCAGTGGTCTCAGCTCTGACAGGCCGCTCTAGGAGGGGACTGCAGGCTGTGAGCCAGGCATGGCCACAGCACAGAGAGTGATCTTGCCAACAGGACACAGTCCTGCAGCATCTCAGCAGGACTGGGTTGGTGATACTGACAGTCACAGCAAGGCA